CAGCTCTTCAGCTCAAGGCTAGCACTCTACCACTTGAGCCACAGCACCATTTCCGGCTTTTTCTGCTTATGTGGTGCTGAGGAATCGAACCCAGAGCCTCATGCACGCAAGGCAAGCGCTCTACCACTGAGCCACCTTCCCAGCCCCTGGACTTCATTTTCCCAACACCTTTTGTTGAAAAACTTATCTTTTTTCCAATATATTTTTTGACTCTTTTGCCAAAACTCAGATGACTCTTCTAGTGAGTCCCATTGGCCTTCGTGTCTATTGTGTCAGAGACCAAGCTGATTTTGAGACTATGACTCAGTATTATATAGCTTGATATCTGGAATTGGGAGACAGCCAACACTGCTTGTTTTGTTTGGGTTGCTTTGGCTATTCAGGGCTGTGTGTGTGTGTGTGTGTGTGTGTTCTTGCAGAATGGCCATCATCAAGAACACAAACAAAATACTGGTGAGGATGGAGGGGGAAAAGAAATCCTAATGTACTGTTGATAAGTGCAATCACTATGGAAGTCAACATGAGAGATTTCTCAAAAAATTAAAAGCAGAACTACTCCATGATCCAGTGAAAATGGAATGAGAAAACATGATGACATTGGAATGGAAAAGAATAGGTAGGGATGGGAGAATGATGGAGGGGTTGATGCCTTGTACACATAAATGGACATGTTAAACTGAAGCCCCTTACACTGTCCAAAAAGAAACGCACTCATTACTTGGCTTATGAATGGGTAACGTCTCTCTATATCACCTTTATAATAATAAAAAAATTTTTAATTAAAAACTTGAACCAACCATCCTGTACAATTATTTGACGGTAACAATAAAAAAGCATACCTTACATACTTCCAAGATACAATGGCATACAGTAAACATTTCCATTCCAAAAGGGAAGAACAGAAACAGAAAGAACTGGATCAACGCAAGACTAAAACCCAATAGAGCAAACATTAAGCCTTCAGAAGCCCTGCCCAGCACCTGAGACGTGAGCTCCAAAGGGCTTGGGCTAGCTCTGCTCACTTCCTGAAGGCTCCCTCCACTGGCATTCCTCATTCTTGGCATCTCTAGCTTCCCAGGATTTCTACCGCAGCTCCAGGTTCACTTTGGCAGGTTCACACATCTTCCTGTAGGGGCTACCCACAGAGACTCCTACGCTGGAGTCCCAGGCTTTCCTTTGACATCTCAGTAGCAGCTCCATATTCCTGTAACTCTTACATTCTGCCTGCTTCAAAAACCAGCACTGCATGGATGATGCCAGGTCTGCTGTAAGAACAAATGGAAAAGAGCCCACTCGAACCACAATTCCCGCAGCCTCCAAGGGCCTCAAAGACTAAGCACATCATCTCAACCTCCCTGAAAATCGGATGCTTTACACCACCCAATTCACCAAAGACTGTCCTCTTCTTGTCCCAAGCCCCCAACTGCAGCAGTATAAAGAATTATCTTTGTTCTGCTAACTCCTGTATCCCCCTGATCTACACCAAGGCCAAGTCCACACCAGATCTCCATGTTTATTGAATAAACAAAAAGAATGAATGAATAAGTAAATTCTATTTTTACAGGATCTTCCCCATGCCAGCCTCAGAAGGTGGCAACCGTCACAGGCATACAATGAAACACATGAAGAATTTCAACTGATCTACATACCGCTGACAAAACCTAGACAGAACCAGGCACTGGTGGCTGATGCTTGTAATCCTTCTCAGGAGGCTGAGATCTGAGGATCTCGGATGGAAGCCAGCCCAGGCAGGAAGGTCCGTGAGACTCATCTCCAATAAGCTACTCAGAAAAGGCCAGAAGTGGCACTGTGGCTCAAGCGGCAGAGAGCTAGCCTTGAGTAAAGGGAGACTGGGAAGGTGATTTAGTGGTAAAGTGCTTGCCTAGCATGCATTGAGCCCTGGGTTCAATTCCTCAGTACCACATATCAGAAAAACCAGAAGTGGCGCTGTGGCTCAAGTGGTAGAGTGTACCCTTGAGCAAAAGAAGCTCAGGCACAGCGCTCAGGCCCTGAGTTCTAGCCCCATGACTGGAAAAAAAATAAAACAGAAACCTAGATGGAAATGTTGGTGGATTTAGCTTGAATCTTTCTCATCAGGCTTTTAAAAAACAAAAGACAAGCAAAGAGTGTGAAACAATCCAAAAATGTTGCTTACAAACATCTGGGAATTTTATTTTTATAAATTTTTTAAAATTCATGTTTTAAAATGTATTTCAAGGTAAATAAAATCATGTTACATTATAAATACAAAACTAACGATTTTCAAAACATACAAGACACATACAATGAGAAAGCATCTTTACATATACAAGGTCCAATGTAATGTCGCATACAAAAAAGAAAGTAGAGAAAATGCTTTACAAAGCTCATTGGTATCAGGTGTGATGGCACGCACATGTAATCTCCACATTTATGAGGTTGAAGCAGGAGGATCATGAGTTCAAAGCCAGCCTGGGAAACAAATCAAGACTTTGTCTCAGGAAAGAAGGGGGGGAAAAGCAGCAACGGCAGTTCCCCTGCAAGCTACAAGCAAAGCTCCCTCCATCAGTCCGGTGATATGTCTTCTTTCCTTGGGCTGCCTCATCATCATTACTTTTCTTTTAAGACAAAGCCCACCCAAGACTTTTTAAAAGATGATGTCTGTTGCTATTTTACCAGTCAGGTGGTTTTTAATTCCAAAAGTCAATGCTTTTATTCTGAGTGATCGAGTAGATGAACCCTAAACACTAAAGGAAAACAAGATTTTTGACTTGGCTAGCTGAGTGAAGCAGTTTTTACAGAAATCTGTTTGTAGGGGCTGGGAAGGTGGCTCAGTGGTAGAGTAATTGGCTTGCATGCATGAGGCCCTGGGTTCAATTCCTCAGCACCACATAAACAGAAAAAGCCGGAAGTGGCGCTGTGGCTCAAGTGGTAGAGCGTTAGCCTTGAGCTGAAGAGCTGAGGGACAGCACCCAGGCCCAGATTTCAGGCCCCACAACCAGCAACAACAACAACAACAACAACAAAAAATAGAAATATTTGTATAAAATTAAGATTTCCATGATCACATGTGCATAAATCACAGCCTGTAAATTAGTTCCTCAACCTATCAAAACAAAACCAAAACACTTTCTTAACAATATGAAAGATCTTACTCACTGCATTCCCAGTTGCTGCTACACAGGAATAGCTAAACTACTGATTCCCCACTGTATCTACTAATGTGCACCAACAACAGAAATGGGGTCACTGCTTATCTACTATTAATACTAATACTTATTTATTAGTTCTTATTGCAGAAACAAGAATCTCTGCATCTTGATTTTATATGAAAACCACATATATTATTCATTTATCTCTAGTATCCTTAACATTTCAGAAAAATATCTAAATTTAAACTTCAATTAAAGTTCCTAATCAGGAAATGAAAAAATAACTGGTGATGATACTGATGAGCTTTTTCTTTGCCGAAGCCATCTTGCCCAGCGATGTGGCAGTCTGAGACATGAGGGTCAAAGTTCAAGGCCAACATAGGTAATGCAGTAAGACCCCATTTCCAAGAAAAAAAAAAGCTATCATTCCTAATTAACCCTGAAGGGAAGAGGGAGAAGAGGAAAAAGGACAGGGAAAAAGAGGGAAGTAAACAAGACAGGGCGCAGAACAAAACAGATTGTTCAGAAGATTAAAGTTAACATCGCCCAGAGTCACAATGACTTCTGGAGCTGCACCAAAAAAAAAAAAAAAAAGAGAGAGTTCTCTTGAAATTCACTAAGAGAACAACACTGACAATAACACTTATCAAAAAGTAAATAGAATTAGAAGGGAACAATGTTTTACCATTTCACATTTCTTAGAAAGTCATTATTAAGATGTATGATTAAAATTGACCCTTCCCAATTATTCTGACTAATATTTAACTATGGAGTGACTGCTCCATTAAAAAAAAAAAAAAAAAATCACGAACAGTGACTCATGCCTGTAATCTCAGCTACTTAGGAAATGGAGACAGGAGAATTGACATTTTGAGGCCAGATAAAACTCCATCTTAAAAACAAACTAGCCGGGTGTTGGTAGCTGTAATCCTAGCTACTCAAGAGGCTAAGATCTGAGGGTTATAGTTTGAGGTCAGCCTAGCCAGAAAGTCGTCCTGAGACTCATCTTCAATTAACCACTAAAAATGGAAGTGGTACTGTGGCTCAAAGTGGTAAAGCACTAGCCTTGAGCAAAAGAGCGCAGGGACAGTGCCCAGGTCCTGGGTTCAAGCTCCATGACCAACAAAAAATAAAATAAAATACTAAAAACAGCCAGATACAGGTGGCTCACGCCTATAATACTAGCTACTCAGGAGGCTGAGGTCTGAGGATTGCTGCTCCTAGCCCAGGCAGGAAAGACTCTTTCTTACCCAATAAACTACTCAGAAAAAGCTGGAAGTGATGCTGTGGCTTGAGTGATAAGAGCACTAGCCTTGAGCACAAGAGAGGCTCAGGGATAGCGCCCACCCTAAATTCAAGCCCCAGGACCAGCAAAAAACAAAAATGAAACAAATAAACAAACAAAAAAAAGAAAAACAAAAAGGACTAAGAATGTAGCTCAAGTAGTTAAAAAAAAAAGTTAAAAAGGAAAAAGTGATGAAGAAAAATTAAAGTTCAGCTGAGTAAGAAGCAAACAATCAGCCAGGCTCCACCACACCTGTGAGCCTAGTGCTCAGTAAGCCAAGATCTGAGCATGATGGTTCAAAGCCAGCCCAAAACGGGAAAGTCTATGAGCCCCCTATCTCTAACCACCAAAAAGCAGACATGAAGCTGTGGCTCAAGTAGCAGAACACTAGTCTTGAGTGAAAAAGTTAAGGAGTAGCACCCAGGCCCTGAGTTCAAGCTCTAGTACCAGCCCAAGAAAGAGAGAGAGTAAGAAAGAAAAGGGAGGGAGGGAGAGAGGGACAAAGGGAGAGAAGAAGGGAGGGAGAGAGGAAGGAAGGAAGGAAGGAAGGAAGGAAGGAAGGAAGGAAGGAAGGAAGGAAGGAAGGAAGGAAGGAAGGAAGGAAGGAAGGAAGGAAGGAAGGAAGGAAGGAAGGATTAGAGGAGAATAGTGCCCAACTCAGGTACTGACAACTAAAATCTAGGTATGGCACAGGGCTGCCAGGAACTCCAGGGAAGCCTCTGTACACATAATTTTGGCTTCATAGAAAGAGCTGCTAAAATCCAATGTTCACTTACTGAGTTAATTAAAGGAAATGTTGAAGACTGTGTACCCAGACTTTAACAGTTTCAGAAAAATTTAAGGAGTACAAATAAGCTCCAAGATTGTATTTGGGAGAACTAGCATTATCTTACATTGGGGTAACACTGTTCCCTCGAGCACAGCCTACACAATGATATAAAATATAGATTCCCTTCGACTTATTCTAATTATGTCAACCAATTTGAATGCATCAAGAAAATTTACCAACAGTATAACAAGGCCCATATTTACATTTTCATTTGCATCTTAAGGACAAGTAGTTAATGAAGATGATGAATATAAAAACCAAGATTAAAGGTCTGTCCACTTGGGGAAAAGCTACATTAATAGTACTCACCCAACCATAAACAGTTGTAATGAATGCAATACTGGAAAACAATTCACAGTTTTTAAAAAGTTGATATACAGTTTCATTATTTTTTTCCAATTCAACATTAAGGAAGTCAACTATATTAATGCCTAATCATTTTACTCTAAAATCTGTAAAATATATAAAATTCCAAGATTATCAACAGTCACGTATGTTTTGAAGTCAGGGGACACATGTATTTTCTTAAGATTAGTTCCATTTGTGTAGAAGGTCTGAGAGGATTCTCCGGTAACAACATTCCACCACTGTTCAAGAAAAGAAAATTCTCATTAGACTAAAGATTATACTGCATGATAATTTGTAGTTTGTCCTATCACCTCCCCATTCCTAAATGCAAGGAAAGCAGGAAAAAAAATAACCTTTACATTTACTGAAGACTTTATCAATCTAATCGGTTTTTGTTGATTAACTCTCCTGAAAACTTCACAGCAAGGCTGCATCCAATGCCACCTGCAAGGCATGCTGGGAGCTACAGGCACCAGACCACATAGAGTTCACTATGGAGGGGCTTGGCTGACCTCTAGCATCTGCAAATCTCAGTGGCTGGACAGACAAGCACTTCTCTCCTCATATTGGTGCCTCTACAGACCATGAACGTTTTCTGACAGACATTTGGCATCCAGTCTGTGGGACAGCGTGCTTTACTGAACAGTCACCAGACATAATGGTAAAGTCCATGACCTGGTTTGTTTAAGCAACAGTCTACACATTTATTTATTACATAAACGCAGAACACCTCAAATGAAGCAGGTGCTCCCACCAAGTCTTCCCTTTTCCTCACCATTATGATTATAACATTTATGTCAATTTGACATTAAAAAAGCTCATATAAAGCTCACCAATGAATCTCACAGCTAAAATGAAGGCAAGAAACAATACATTAATATTTTTTAAAAGCCTCATGTTCAAAAGGAGTGCTTTGAACTGAGTGTCACTGGCCTTTACGACCATGATACAGCCTAGCGCTCTGCCTTGCTCATGTGCCTGGGTTGACTATTCCTGTTCACTCTTAGGAATATGTGAAATATCACTCAGGCAAAAGTTTAGTGATATTATTTTCTCATTTGTAAATAAGAGAAATTTTGAAAGGTTACTGGGGGGGGGGGGGCAGGGGGGGGCTGGTGGTTAGAGACCTTCCCATCCAGGCTGGCTTTGATCTCATCCTCCTGAGTGGCTTGGATTACAGGCATAATCAATTAGAACCCACCGGAAGTTAAGAACTTTTTTGGCTACTGGATACCTACTTTATCTTTCTGGCATTCAATTTATAATGCTGGACTCTAAAGTAAACAGACTCCAAAGGCCTAATTTCTTGGTCACTATAGCAGCTGTTCCTTTTTACTTCTAATTCGTTCCATGCTTTTGGATGATCTCATTAGCATGCCGGGTGAACGCAGTCTTGGCTGTAACATAATTAGCTTAACCATGCTGGTAATCAAACCAGAAGGCAAAGGCAGCCTGATTTGTCACTTAAATATACAGACTAAATATAAGGCAATAGTTTCTCCTAGCTTTCAGATACAGCCTCTACAGTACCCAGATGTAATCTGCTACTTTACTTCAAGTCACTGATCTTTATAACATCTTAGAAGTCAGACTAACAATTATGTGCCAGTGTTCTATGTAGCCCAGAGAATCAAATGACATGGTCTTGAGAAACCTGGTGTCAACGCTGAGCAGTTAAGTTTTTCAGCAGCTAATATAGCTGAAGACTCGGATTCCCACACAAACAATAATGTCAGAGCCAAGTAAGAGCTAGCATTTATCTTTACACAGTGGCACTCATGGCTCAGCAGCTCTAGACTGCATAAAAATGTGTTCAAAAGGTGTAGGTTAATGCAATATTAACATAATTGTATCTCCAATGCAACCTAAAAAGGGGCAGCCAAAAAGCAGTCTCTTTCATCATATAAGCCAGATTTTTATGCTGAATAAAATTTCAATAATGTGGGGACCAATTAACCAAAAACTTCATTCACTACACAGTTTTCAGCAAGAAATGGCAGTTTCATGACATTTTATGGATCTATTTTCTTTTATAATATTATAAATGAAGTTTAATATAGATTCTAAAGCCTTGTGGTTTATTTTAAATGAGAAAGCTTACAGGATGGCCACATGGTCAGCATAATATATAGTATCAACTTATGGCCCTCTTACAAATGAACTGCTTTTCAAAAGATACTCCTCTATGTTCCTTCCGCTCTCCTCATACACACATCTCAGACTCTCCTACAATTACATACATACATACATACAAACAAAAATATATACACACAAACACACCTACACATACATACACACACACACACACACACACACACACACACACACACACACACACACACTATACTTGGGGAAATTATTTGCCACCTGCGTCCTGTAGACAGTGCACTGCCATTGGGCAGCTATGCACACAGAAGCATCTCAGCACACAGTGGACACTAAACACAGTTTTACTAAATGGACAAATAAATGCATGCACCAAAAAAACAAAAAAGGACCTTGAAACATCAATACACTTCTTGGCCTCCGTTCTCACTAGTAAGTCTACAGAAAGCAACTTGCTAGAGAAAATTGAGAGGGAAGGGAATCTGGGTGTGAGTGCTGGCCCCTTACTAAGTTTGTCCTTTTAGCCAATTGCCAACATTCACAACTTATCAGCCTGCTCAGGGTAACCAAAGGATAATGAAATTTACAGGTCACAAAGCTGGCTAGTGAAATTATGGGAGTAAAGCATTCAATAACCAGAGCGCAATATGCTGTGGTTATTATTAATAATTGAAGGAAGAAAATTTCACAAATACTTTTTAAAGAATATTGACCAGAACATTAAAGAGAAACACGAAAAATAAAATTAAATTAGCCAAGTGCCAGTGGTTCACATCTGTACACCTAGCTACTCAGGAGGCTGAGATCTGAGGATAGCAGTCCAAAGCCACACAGGTCTGGAGATTCATCTCCAATTAACCAACAGAAAAGCAGAAGTGGTGCTGTGGCTCAAAGTGGTAGTGTTAGCCTTGAGAACTCAGGGACAGGGCCCAAGCTCCAAGTTCAAGCTGCATGACTATCCAAAAATAATGACATTAAAAAAAAATTAAATTACTAGCCATTCTGATCATGTACATTCTTATAGGTACATGAGCTCCGGGTTGAGAATAGCACAAACCCGCCAAGAGATCTGGGGAAAGTGGCTTTCACACCTGTCTCATCCTTACAAACGGGGAACAGCAACTGCCCTTTGTTCTGCTGAGTTACAGGAAGTCCTACTGAGAAACGGGAAGTGAAACCAGCTTGGAAAATATGATACAGACTGTTCTTTCTTTCCTAGGCCTTGAGTAACTCTTACCTTAATATATCCTCCAGCAGAGACAAGCATTTTGCTATCTGGAGAAAAGCAAAGGTCGGTCACCCAGCCCCCATGGGTAGCAGCTGCTTCTTCTACAGAAATCGGAGCACATAAATGAAGAAGCTCACCGTTTGAAACATTCCATATCTACATAAACATGATACAAAATTTGTTAACAGGGTTACCCAGCTTCTCTGGTTTTAATATAGAGAGATAATTCTAAGCACGTATTTTCTAAAATTATTTTACTAGACATCTAAACATCCGATGACTTGCAGATTCTATGTCAGACAAGCAAGAGATATATAAGAGAATAAGAAAAATAGAAGTACACATAGCTCCATAGTGAAACCCATCATTTGCAAATAAACGTCTCCCCACAAAAATCAAGTGAACAAACGGGAAAAACTCAGAAAGAATTCAGTAAAAAACAAGATGTAACTCATATACACAAACACAACAGCTTTCCTACATTCTGAATAACCAAATAGAAAAACAATTTTTTCTTTCAGAATATGTACCAAAAAAAAATTTTAAATAACACTCAAGATTTTGAGTGGTTTTTTTTTTTTCCTGTAGGGGCCTCTGAAAAATGAAGCACTGCCGCATGACTGCAAAGGAGCCTTCTCACTGGAAGACGGGGACTCGGCCCACCGTGGCTCGGCCACTTCAGCTAGCACTGCATTTATGTCACCAGGACGGAGACAGCTGGCTCTCAGTCCTCAAGGAGAACTTCATCTTCCTAGAATAAGACCTGAGTTCCTGCAAAATACCTACTCTCCTATTCCTCTGTGCTACATACCTAATTCCTTGAATTTTATATTCTGTTTAAAAACAAAAACAAAACAAAAAAATACCTCATGGATATTGGTCATCAAAACAGATATCTAATGTCCCAACTTTTTTCCATGTATGTCCAATTCTTATAATATCACCAAACTATCTGACTGTTTTGCCATTATTTCTGCTCTTCCGGTGTACAGTATTGTCCATACTGCACTACATTTCCACAGACACAGGTGAGAGCAGTCTCCCACACCTCCCAGAAAGACTTTTGCCAAATAAAATTGTCATGGCTTACATTATATTTAAAGCACTGCAGGATGATAAAAACTGACCTATCATGTAGACTGCAGTTTAGTGAGGAGCCTTTCCATGCTCACACAATGAGGGAAAGGGAGCTTTTGAACTACTAACAGACAATCCAAAGAGGATTTGCAATAAACTACATGTTGCCCAATGAGTGCTAAAGCTCTTTTTTTTTTTTTGGCGGGGGAGGGGGGAGGATGAAAAACAGCATAATCTGCAACTCATTTATAACCTAGACAATGATTTGCAAATTTACTTTCCTGAAATTCTGACACTAAAAACAACCTTTGTGTCGCATCCAAAAATTAAGATGAATCATTCTCAACTAAGAGCAGAGAACCAACTGCAAATAACTAGGGCACTTGTTCTTCACATACATAAGGAAATGCCTTAGTCTAACTCTAAAATGAATCCTTTCCTGCAGTGGAAGGTAGCTATGAATACAGTATGCAAAAGAAACAAAGCAAAGAACGTTTCACCTAACCAAAACCCTAGGACCAATGCTGCCCTGCCCCATTACTGTGGTCCCCAATATGATGAAGCGTGCATGAGAAACAGTGCTCATGTCAGCATACACCCTACCCTGATTTCTCCATTGTCATCACCGGTAGCCAGCAAGGTACTGTCCACAGAGAAGGTAGAGCAGCGCACACAGGCATCGTGGCCCTTCAACTCATGAAGAGGTGAGAGGTGTTCAAAACTCCAAATCTGGAAGGCAATTAGGATTGCTTAGGAATGGTCAATATACTCAAAATAAGCCTGCCAAAGTGCTATCCACCCATTCAATTCAATCACATGCAAGTTCTAGCTAACATTTGACAGCGCATAAATTTTCATGAGATGCCCAAGCTCTAACCTATGTTAAATTTCCAAGTTTCTCTTTAAAATCAGGTGAAAAACGAAAGTCACACCTTCTTGATCTTCACACTCAGGAAGAACAACACAGAATCAGTTAAAAACAATCTGAAGAAGAAAAACACACCTGAGGCTAAGTCCTGGTTCCATTCTTAGCTAGCTCCTAGTGACCTAGCATAAGGTTCTCTAGCATTTTCTTCATCTGTAAAATGAGGGCAACAGTATCCATGGTATAAAAATTAAACTAGGTTAAAGGAGGGTAAAAAAGAGCATGTGGCAAGTGCTCTTCAAAGGCTGGTCCCTATACTGCCCTGCTATTGGGATCAAAATGCTGCCCTTTTCCTTCCACTGTTCTCTCTGTGGTTCCCTAACCACTGAACAAGTACCAGTGGAAACTACCAGGCACTGTGAACCAAGAGCTTGTGAAACTAGAAACAGTATCTTTCCTTTATATTTTAATAAGAAAGATAGCTCGAGAACAGTTAGTAAACATTTACATAAATATATCTGCCAACAAATATAAATAAAATACAATGGAAACACTGAATGTAGAACAGCTAACTGCCTGATGGTCAAGAAATGCTTCACTAAAAAAAAGCAGATATCAAGCCGGACACTGGTGGCTCACACCTGTACCCTTAGCTACTCAGGAGGCTGAGATCTGAGGATCATGGTTCAAAGCCAGCCCAGCAGAAAAGGCCGTGAAACTCTTGTCTCCGATAAACCACCAGAAAACCAGAAGTGGTGCTGTGGCTCAAGTGGTAGAGTGCTCGCCTTGAGTTGAAGAGCTGAGGGACAGCACCAGACCCAGAGTTCAAACCCCATGACCAACAACAACAACAATAACAAAAAAGCATATTATCAAATGTAAATCTAAAAAGAATGGCTTATAATACTTCCAGGTAAACACACACACACACAAAAGGAAAGGTTGTGTCAAACCAGAGTTAACAATATGCACAAAAAGATGAAGACAAGGAGTAGGCAAGTACAAAGGAAACAATGCGATGAAAAGAGATGGTGGTGAACTAAGGAGTTCATCAATAAGCCAACAAGTAACAGATGATTCAACAGAGGGTTGGTCATTGGTAAGGGAAGATCCAATAGGGGAAGGGCAGATCAGAGGTAGGATATAAGGACAAGGCAACCAAGTAGGAAGAAGAGCATTGTCTTAAGGGTTGAGGACAAGGAGCTGAATATAGACACACAGAGGAATAAATATAAGAACACAAAAGACAGGAAAGTGCCTAACAAAATCTGAGTGCCATTTAGAAAGACAGGTAGGTAATGAAGCCATGAACAATGGAGAAAAAGAGAGCAAATTATTCAATGTCCTCAATGAAGTAGCATGACTCAGTGATTTTTCAAAGGCATCAACTTGTATCAATCAAATAAAACTCAAATATAGGTTTGTAATTAAATTCTTTTCAGTGAAGCCAGGTGCTGGTGACTCACGCCTATAATCCTAGTTACTCAGGAGGCTGAGATCTGAGGATTGTGATTCAAAGCCAGCCCAGGCAGTAAAGTCTGTGAGACTCTTATCACCAATTAACCACCAAAAAACTGGAAGTGATGCTGTGGCTCAAAGTGGTAGAGCACTAGCCTTGAATGAAAGGGCTCAGGAACATTGCAAAGTCCATGAGTTCAGGACCCCCTCCCCCCCCAAAAAAAATTCCTTTCAATGATTTTTATTGCAACAAAACAAAGTAGAGGGTCTGTAAGATTAGTTATAGATAAAAGGTAATCCAAAGGAAAAAATTTAAAGTCTTTAGTGTTACTCATTTAATCAATGTGACATTAAGCAAGTGCCAATGTGCAACCTCAAAAAGCTTATGTCCTAAGACAACTCATATAAACTTGTCTAGCTTCAATTTTTGCATCTGTATAATAGGGACAGTGGCAGCTATGGTGTAAAGATTAGTAAGATTATAGGGTATGAAATTCTTAGAATAAGGCAAGTACTCTTTATAGGTTAGCCACTATCCTATCCTATGAGCCCAAATATGTAAACAGAAACTTAGTTTTTTATACATAACTAGCATTCAAATATATAAGCAATACTACAGTTTTATGCATAGTTATTACAATTGAATGACTTACCTTTGCAGACTTATCGGCAGAGGTAGAAGAAAACTTGGTAGTATCAGAAGAAACATCACAAGAAAGTACTGTACCCTGGTGACACACAAAGTCCTTTTCTATTCTACCAGTGATAATATTCCATACCTTAAAAGGAAAAAAGAATGCTTAGAAGTTTATACTTTTGCTGGGTGCTGGTGGCTCACATCTATAACCTTCCTCTACTCAAGTGGCTGAGATTGAAGTGTCACAGTTCAAAGCCATCCAGGGCAGAAAAGTCCACGAAACTAGTAAGTCTAATTAACTAGTAAAGAAGTCAGGTTAGAGGCCTGGGCTCAAGTGTAGAGTGATAGCTATGAGCAGGTAAACAGAGAAAGAGTGCAAGGCCCTGAATTGATGGCTCCATGATGGCAAAGAGATTGATATATTCAGAAACATTTTGTATTAAAGCATGTGATTAACTACAAAATAGATCTATAAAAACGGTTTTATTTAGCACAGCCAAGATTGTTTGGCTCCTCTGGTCTTCTTACTTTAGTATCTCTTATATACGATTTTAGTATAAATGTTGATGAACATATAAAAAAGGCTTGACTTAAATAACTCCTCTGTGGGCTGGGAAGGTGGCTCAGTGGTAGAATGCTTGCCTTGCATGCCTGAGGCCCTGGGTTCGATTCCTCAGCACCACATAAGCAAAAAGAAAAAACCTGGAAGTGGCACTGTGGCTCAAGTGGTACAGCACTAGCCTTGAGCTGAAGAGCTGAGGGACAGCGCCCAGGCCCAGAGTTCAGGCCCCACGACCGGACCCAAAAAAAAAAAAAAAAAAAACTCCGCTGTATATCACTTTTATAATAACAAAAAATACAAATTTACAAAATATGAAAAATTTAAAAAGTTATGTGAAGATAAGGAAACACAGGCAGAATAAATTTTTTAACTTAATTACTATCTACGTGCTTGTTGCTATTTCAATATCAGACTATTTTTTCTTTCTCATTCTAGGCTTTTTTTTATTTTTTGTAAAGGTGATATACAAAGGGGTTGCAGTTACAGATCAATTTTCTTAAAAAGACAAATCTGAGATTCAAATTACCTTTACTGTTCCATCAAATGACCAAGAAAGCAATCTTGAATTTGTTAAAAGTCGGAAGTCTTTCACTGTTTCTTGGTGGGCTTGCAGAAAGACATATTCCTCTGACTGCCAATTCCAAACCTGAATACCAAAGAAATAAATCCATTACAACCTTTCCCCAACAATATCCTACTGGAAAGGGAAAGCCCACACTCTCTTGATATGAAGTCATCCTCATGGCATTTCAGAGAAGAGTAACAAAGAAAATGGTATCCACATTTTAAAATGACAAAATAAGATGGGGTTAATTAACTTGACTAGAAGCAAAATGAAATACTTTTCCTCCTAAATAAAATTTGTTTTCTTCGGTTGCTTATTGAACAATTAATTTTACCAGAAGAGAAAAGCTACAATAAGCGAGTGATCTCACCATATGATTAAATCTTCCAGAGAAAATTATCCCAAACACACAGTCACTGTTTTCTGAACCTACAAGATAGGCAAGTGTGCAGATTCTGGCTCCACTGAAGCTGGTCCAGGAGTGTAAGGCAGCCAAAGTGCTTAAAACCAGGTCACAGAATTTCCAAGCTTCACAGGCACAGGTCTTAGCTAGCTCCTAATGCAATCCTCAAAAATCACATACTAAAGCTACCAGCACAATCATGCTTATTGCAGCATAGTTTACCAACTCAGATGTCCCTCAGTAGACGAACAGATCAAGAAAATGTGGTATAGTGGGCACCAGTGGCTCATGCTTGAAATCCTAGCTATTCAGGAAGCTGAGATCTAAGGATCAAGGTTCAAAGCCAGCCTGGGCAGGAAAGTCAGTGAGACTATTATCTCCAATAAACCACTCAGAAACCCAGAAGTGGTGCTATGGCTCAAGTGGTAGAGCATTAGCCTTGAGCTGAAGAGCTGAGGTACAGAGTCCAGGCCCAGAGTTCAAGCCCCACTACCAAAAAAAAAAAAAAAGGTGGGGGGCTGGGGGTTTAGCCCAGCAGAAGGGCGCGCGCAAGGCCCTAGATTCGGTTCTCAGCCCTGGAAAAAAAAAATGGTGTACACACACACACACACACACACACACACAGAGTTCTATGCTTCCATCAAAAGAATTAAATTGTCCCATTTATAAGGACATGAAAAGACCTGGAAAAAAATTATATTAAGCAAAGCAAGCATGGCCCAAAGAAATGCAGATTGCATGGTTTCCCTCATTTGTAATAACTAGATCATGTCCATGACATTCTTAGCAGAGGATCACAATAGCCCAATCTCTAGGTGCACATGACCATAAATAATGAAGCATATCACAATGAACTTCAGTAATTGGAAACAAGAGGTTTCTATAATATACTGTTTGCAATTATTTCTTTTTTTCTTTCCTTCTCTTTTTTTTTTGTATTTGGTTTTATTGTGTGTTTCGTTTTTTTCCTTTGTTTTGTTTGCTGTACCCTTTGTCTTGTATGTAACACTCATGTGATCCGCAGAAGGAAAAGGGAACCACAAAAACACCAGGACAAAGATGAACTAATGCAACAATAATACTCAGCAGACACTAAGTTGGGATGAACTTTACAACTTGGAAGGCAGGGGAGTGGGGAGGGGAAAGCGGGAGAAAATGAAAAACAGTGTCCAAAAAGAAATGTACTCATCACCTTACTTATGTAACTGTAACCCCTCTGTCCATCACCTTTACAATAAATAAGGAAAAGAAATCACAGAATAATAGGGCATTATTTTTCACATCAAACTTCAGAAGAGATCCAGCCATAACAGGAGAAGGAAAAAGTGAAATAATGCCAGCAACTGGCACAAAATAAACACATGAGCATATCTGAGGCACAGCAGTGAACAGAAGGGACATTGTAAGCCACATCCATGTACAGAACATCTTTTCCTCACTAAATCAGTGCATCTGTATTCAGAATCTTGATAATTCCTGACTTCAAACTAACCTACTTAATAAACATTAATTATTCACCTATGCGTGAATCAAACAAGAATCTATCAGAAAGAAACCCAAGAGTCAAGCCAGATGTAGTTCATACTTGTTAATTCCAGCACTTGGGATGTGAAGGAAGAAAGATTGCAAGTTCAAACCAAGGCTCAACTACATAATGAATTCCATGCTAATTTGGTAACATAACAAGTCTCTGTCTCAAAGAAAGTAAATAAAGCAAAAACAAAAGAGAAAATCAAAAGAAATGAGGCAGCAAAAAAAGTAAATAAAAATTCTAGATAGAAAGTTCTATGGAATTGAAAAAAGCAATTCCTAGGACAGGCATAGTAGTTCAAGTCTATAATCACAGCTTCTTGGGAGGCAGAGTAGGAGGAACACAGTCCAAAGCTGGTCTTCAAAAAGCAGAAGAACCACTGGACTCTGGTGGCTCACGCCTGTAACCCTAGCTACTCAGGAGGCTGAGATCTGAGAATCACAGTTCAAAGCCAGCCCAGGCAGGAAAGTCTGTGAGACTCTTATCTCCAATAAACCACTAGAAAACTGTAAGTGGCACTGTGGCTCAAGTGGTAGAGCACTTGCCTTGAGCTGAAGAGCCCAGGACAGCGCCCAAGCCCAAAGTTCAAGCCCCATGACCAACCAAGAATAAAGCAGACAACCCTATCTGAAACAAAACAAAATATGCCCTAAATGCAAAGGACTGAGGGTGTGGTTTAAGTAACAGTACTTGCCTAGGGATCTGAGGCCCTGAGTTCAAACCTCAATACCATCAAAAAAAAAAAAAAAAGCATTCCAAGTAAAAGCATAATTCACAAACTGAGAGGCAGTTTTTTATGCTTTGCACCACAGCAGAGAAGACAGGTGCACACCACACCCAGATTTTTTTTTTTTCTGTTGAGATGAGGATTCTCACAAACTTACTTTTTCTTTTATGGCCCAGGCTGACCTAGAACCACAATCCTCCCAATTGATGGCTCATAAGTAAGTAGGATTACAGGCCTGAGCCACCAGTACCAAGCTGAAAGGGGCTTTTCAAATATGGGGTATGAAAGTACAAGAAAACATGAAAAGATTATAGGGACTTACTTATAGCTCAATCTAGCTAAAAAATAGGACAAACAGAAAAAACAGCAGAGAAAAAAAAAGACTGGAAAGGTATTAAAAGAAACAGCCTAAGAGCTGAAAAGCTTATAAACCATGTGCAAATGACCATACAAGATGATGCTAAGTGAAATGAATGCCAAGATATGGCACAAGAGGTCTGTCTTTATTGTTATTGTTTTAAATGTACCATGTGATTTTATTTTTTGTTGTTGTGGTTGTTTCCTTTGTATGTTCTTTCCCCTATGGCATATTCCCCGTTCTCAATGTACTTGATTTTGATACCCTGCATCTTATATATGTGTATGTCTAATCTGGGGAGGGGAAGGAGAATAACAAAACACTGAAAACAAGGACCCAGGGTGAACATTGCAACAAGAATACCCACAGGACAGTATGTTGAAAACAAACTTTGCAATTTTGAATGGTGGGGGGGTGGTAGGGAAAGAATAGTGGGACAACACCAAGGAAGGGCAGGGGTAACAATGATCAACAAGATGTGCTCATTGCCTTACTCATGTAACTATAACCCCTCTGTACAGCATCTTAACAATAAAATAAAATTTTAAAAAATTTCATTAGCAGGGCTGGGAAGGTGGCTCAGTGGTAGAGCGCTTGCCTTGCATGCATGAGGCCCTGGGTTCAATTCCTCAGCACTACATAAACAAAAAGAAAAAAGCCAGAAGTGGCGCTGTGGCTCAAGTGGTAGAGCGCTAGTCTTGAGCTGAAGAGCTGAGGGACAGCGCCCAGGCCCAGAGTTTAGGCCCCATGACCGGACCTGCCCCCCCCCCCCAAAAAAAAAGAAAAAAAAAATTTCATTAGCTCCACACCTGTGGCTCACGCCTATAATCCTAGCTACTCAATAGGCTGAGATCTGAGGATGACAGTTCAAAGCTAGCCCAGGCAGGAAAGTCCATGAAACTCTTATCTCCAATTAACCACTAGAAAACTGGAAGTGGCGCTGTGGCTCAAGCAGTAGAGCACTTGCCTTGAGATGAAGAGCACAGGGACAGCACCTAAGCCCAGAGTTCAAGCCCCAGGACTGACAAAAAAAAAAAAAAAAAAAATTTCACTATGCCATTTACATAATGAATAAAATACAATTGGTAAACTCAAAAAAATAAAAGAAGAAGAAAAGGAACAGCCTAGGGCTGGGAAGGTGGCTCAGTGGTAGAGCGCTTGCCTTGCATGCCTGAGGCCCTGGGTTCGATTCCTCAGCACCACATAAGCAAAAAGAAAAAAGCCGGAAGTGGCGCTGTGGCTCAAGTGCTAGAGCGCGAGCCTTGAGCTGAAGAGCTGAGGGACAGCGCCCAGGCCCAGAGTTCAGGCCCCACGACCGGACCCAAAAAAAAAAAAAAATTGAAAGGAACAGCCTGGAGGAGCCAACAAGGTGTAAATAGACAAGTCCAGAAGAATAAAAACATAAGGGAAATTCACACACACAATTAGTAATATTCAGATTAGTAATATTCTGGTATAGTTTTTTGACTGGTGAAAGTAAAATAATAAAAAGATCTTTTTGTGTATGAGGCTTGAACTCAGTGCCTAGCCCCCATCCCTGAGCCTTTTTTGCTCAAGGCTAGCATTGTACCACATGAGCCACAGCCTCACTTCTGGTTTTTTGGTGGTTAGTTGGAGCTAAGAGTCTCATGGACATTCTGGCCCAGGCTAGCTTTGAGCCTTGATCCTTAGATCACAGCTTCCTGAGTTGCTAGGATTATAGGCGTGAGTCACCAACATTTGGCCAAAAATCTTTTTTTTCAATTAACTTATTTTTTTAATTTAAAATGTTTTATTATCTTTAATCATTTTTCAAAGGAGCTTAAACTTAGTATAGAAATGTGAGTACAATGCTCCTTGATCAATGACACCCCTTCCATCATTCTCTCCAAACTACACTCATCCCTTCAAGTTACCTTGTTAAAACATTAAAAATGGATGAAGTATTCTGAGCAGAATAGAAAAAGAAGATAAAACCCAACATATTTCTAAAAATAATATTTTTCTAAAAATATTTCTAGAAATTATTCTCCTGGTAGCTGAGAATATTTTCAAGCAGGTCATAAAAATCTTATGAGTTTAACTTCATATAGTATACAATGTCTCAACAGAATTTCATCAGATGAAGTTCAGTTTTATCCATTTCAAAGACATATGGAGAAGAAAAAAATGTGACTATTCCACTGAGTTTCACAGCTAATAAAGGAGCATCATGGGAGCCTACAAAAGAAGTTGCTGTACAGAAGCCAAATTTCATTTCAGTCATATTCCTTCACAGGACTCAAAAAGATAAAAACACCTTTTTTCCAAAACAGCTTTTAAAAGCATACTTAATTACTGCCATTGTAAGAAATATATATACTAAGTAAAAGCTGAGCAAGAATCTGAGGCCCTAAATTTAAGCCCTGGATTGGGGGCAGGGGAGTGATAGCACTTTATAAGCATGCCAAATGAAGGTAAGTATCAAAAGAAACATCTGGGGCTGGGAATGTGGCTTTGTGGTGAAGTGCTTGCCTAGCAGGCATGAAGCCCTGGGTTCCATTCCTCAGTATCACATACACAGAAAAAAAGTGGTGCTGTGGCTCAAGTGGTAGAGGGTTAGCTAGCCTTGAGCAAATGAGGTTTAGGGACAGTGCCCAGGGCCTGAGTTCAAGCTCCAGGACTGGCACAAAAAGAAAAAATCTAAAAGCTAAAAGTGGTGTTTCTGAAAAAATAAGAAATGGGAGAAAGATCTGTTTTGTTTTGTTTTTAATAACAAGCTTTGTAATACTGTTTGCATTTTGAAGTGTGTATATCAGAACTTCAACAAAAAATCAAGTGAACTGGGCATAGTGGCTGATTCTGACAGCCTAACTACTTGGGAGAGGAAGAGGAGGAGGATGGTTTGAGGCCAACTGGGGCAAGAATGTCATCAGATGGCCATCAACCAATAAAAGCCAGGTATGGTGATGCATCTATCATTACAGCTAGGCAAGTAGTATAAGCTGAAGGATCACAATCCAGGCTAGGCTGGGTATACACATAAAACACCATTCCAAAAAAATGTCAAAAGTAAGAAGAGCTAGGAGAGTGGCTCAAGGGAGGGACAGTCTGCCTAGCTAGTGTTAAGACTCTGAATTTAAACCTCAGTATTGCCCCCCCCCCCAAAAAAAAAGGAAGGAGGGAAGGGGAAAAGAAAGAGAGAGGGCTGGGAAGGTGGCTCAGTGGTAGAGTGCTTGTCTTGCATGCATGAGGCCCTGGGTTCGATTCCTCAGCACCACATAAGAAAAACCGGAAGTGGTGCTGTGGCTCAAGTGGTAGAGCGCTAGCCTTGAGCTAAAGAGCTGAGGGACAGCACCCAGGCCCAGAGTTCAGGCCCCACAACCGGACCCAAAAAAAAAAAAAAGAAAAAGAAAAGAAAAAAGAAAGAGAGAAAAGGGGAGGAGCAAGAGGAGATGGAGGGGAAGGAGAAGGGGAAATGGAGGGAAGGAAGGAGAGAAGGAAGGAAGGCGGGCAGGCAGGCAGGGGCAGGGGCGGGCAGGCAGGCAATTAAATGAATTTTAAAAGACTAAGTTTACGACCTCCTTCATTATGGCAAATTATTTTTTTCTCAGATTTTATCCCTGTAATAAGTGTTACTATTAAAAGAGAATGAAATTTTTCAAATTAGATTAATGTAAAAAGAAAATACATAAATATGGCAACAAATACATTTATTAATGCAAATACAAGGAAGGCAAGAGAATTTAAATGAATCCTTGATTTTCACATTGTCTGCCATCCACCCCACCTTCCCACACACACACAAATATGCAACACGAATGTGTTTCCTCTAAGCTGGTGTACATTATCTAAATGTGTATCCAAAATAGTATATTTAAGAGGTACGTCAATTTTAGGCACAATCAGGTGTTCTATTGCAAGAGAAGTCTCCTTGCATTCCTTTCTACAATAGTACCTAGGTTAGCAATGCATCTGCCCGCTTACCTGAATTACAGAATCATCAGAACTTGAAATAAGGGCCTTCTCATCAGCTGTGAACTGGATGTGCCGTAGTGCTTTCTTGCGCTCCATTCTGGATTGGAACACTCTTCTGTTCAGAAGTTCTAAAATCTTCAAAGTAGAAAAACCACAGAAAATATTAATGCAAAGAAATTCAATAATGTCTAAGTATTAAAAGCAAACATTATCAAACAGAAACGGCATGGAATTTCCATCTCTTATTGTCTTTAATTTAAATACACACTAATATGTGTGTATACACACATAGATACATGTATACACATATGCACATATCTGAAAATCAAGCATTTTCTGGAAGGGCTAGATGGCAGAGCAGGAACCAATGATCAGTCCTTCTGAATATTCAACTACGCAATTCATCAAACAAGTGGCAATCTGGGCTTAGCCTCCTAAAAGAAAATGACATTTGTGATGGATAAGAAAGAAAAAAAGAAATAATCCTGGATGAGACAAGCAAGCTCTTCAAAAGTCAACACAGGGAAAAGCAAGATAAAGGATGATGAGGAACACAGGTGTGGGAATAAAAATATATAAGAAAGTGGGAGGACAATACGATGGCAAGATTTAGGGAGCTAAGCCGGGTACCGGTGGCTCAAGCCTGTAATCCTAGCTACTCAGGAGGCTGACATCTGAGGACTGCAGTTCAAAGCCAGCCCGGGCAGGAAAGTCCGTGAAATTCTTATCTCCAATTAACCACCAGAAAATCAGAAGTGGTGCTGTGGCTCAAGTGGTAGAGCACTTGCCTTTAGCTGAAGAGTACAGGGACAGTGCCCAGGCCCAGAGTTCAAGCCCCGTGGCCGACCAAAAAAAAAAAAAAGATTTAGGAGGGCTGAAGATGAATATGCCAAACTGAGATTGAAAAATAACACAAATTTTAAAAAAGACAATCAACAACAAGTTGGAGAGAGACTCGACAAATGGGACTAACTTAAAATAAAAAGCTTCTGCACAGCTAAATCTATCGCAACCAAGCTAGAAAGACAACCAACTAATTGGGAAAAAATATTTACCAGCAATATATCAGACAAGGGGTTAACATCCTGTATATACAGGGAACTCAAGAAACTAATCCCTCCCAAACCTAACAAACCAATTACTAAATGGGCAAGGGAACTAAAGAGGGACTTCTCAAATGAAGAAATAAAAATGGCAAAGAAACACATGAGGAAATGTTCATCATCCCTGGTGGTGAAGGAAATGCAAATAAAGACAACCCTGAGATACCACCTTACCACAGTCAGAATGTCCCACATCCACAAATCAGCCAACGACAAATGCTGGAGGGGATGTGGAGAAAGAGGAACCCTATTACACTGCTGGCGGGAATGTACACTCATACAACTACTTTGGAAAGCAGTCTGGAGGGTCCTTAGAAAGCTAAAGATTGACCTCCCTTACGACCCAGTCATACCACTTCTAGGCACCTACCATGAACAACAGGAACCAATATACAAGGACACGTGCATGTTTATTGCAGCACTGTTCACAATAGCTAGGATATGGAAACAACCCAGATGCCCCACCACAGATGAATGGATCCAAAAATTGTGGTATCTATATACAATGGAATATTATGCAGCCATTAGAAATGACAAAATAATGGCATTTGCAGGGAAATGGATGGAGCTAGAAGGAATCATGTTGAGCGAGGTAAGCCAAGAGCGAAGAGACAAACGGTACATGGTCTACCTGATAAGTGGATGCTAAATCCAAAATGTTAGGTGATACGACAAAACTAACAGGACTTAAAAAACAAAGAACTCCCACTCATCTGGTCGAACCACTACTAAATATCCCCATGCTGCTGATCGCATGTATGGTGTATAACATGTGAACACCGTTATACGTTACAGACTGTGATAGACAATTTGCTCCAGGAAAGTTAGAATGAACTTGTGACTTTAAATGAGCATCATTATTCCACAATACTGTGAAATTCCGGAAATTATGCAATCACTTAATCACAATCAAAAAAAAAAAAAAAAGAACCTCGGGGAAGGTAGGGAGGTAGGAGATGGTAGGGGGAAAACAATGGAGGGGGTAACAATGTTCAAGAGTAAGTGTACTCATTACCTCACTCATGTAACTGTAACCCTATGTATAGTATCTTTACAATATAAAAAAAAATCTTTATAAAAAAATTAAAAAAAATTCATGCAAAAAAAAAAAAAAAGACAATCAAAATGCTTTTAAATGAACTCGTACCACAAAGAGTAAACATGCTTCTTTGCCCAAATTAAAATGTATTTAAGAACACTTAAGGAAAATATAGATGATACAGTAACAAAAGATTCCAGAAGTTTAAACCTAAGCCACATGTCTGAAAAAAAGCAAAGGGGAAATTAGCAAGCAAAGGGGAAATTCTGTGAATGGGAGTATTCCTAAATGAACAGATGGACTGTTTCAATCCCTCAGGGCAAGGCAGAGTAGTATAATATTGAAAACATAGGCTTGGAGACCTGGGCTGGAATATTAGATCTGCATACCAAAAAGTTGTAGAAATTAAGAGTTTAGGTATCTGTGAAACAAGATTAATAATAGCTAATTTCCAGGATGTAGTAAGACTTCAATGAAAGCATCTGGCTCAATTACACAGCCAAGTGTATGGGTATCTTGGTTAACCCATATGAAATCTTTTTTTCTTCTTTTTTTTAATGTGTCAGTCTGGGGCTCAATCTCAAGGCCTGTGTGCTACCTTTAAGCTTTTTAGCTTAAGGCTAGAAGCTACTACTTGAGTCACAGCTCCACTTCCAGCTTTTTAGTGAAAAATTAAAGCTAAGTATCTCATACTTTCCTGCCTGAGCTGATTTCAAATGTGTGATCTTCAAATCTCAGCCTCTTGAGCAGCTAATGATGATAGGTGGGGGCAAACTAATTTCCATTTTATAGGTGAAAAATAGATTATAATTAGCTAGGCACTGGTGGCTCATGTCTGTAATCCTAGCTACTCAGGGAGCTAAGATCTTAGGGTCAAGGTTCAAAACTAGCATAGGCAAGAAAGTCTATGAGATTCTCATCTCCAATAAACTACCAGAAAGCTGGAAGTAGAGCTATGGCTCAAGTACTATAGCACCATCCTTGAGGGATAATGTTACTACTACTGGACAGTATCCAGACTCTGAGTTCAAGCCCCACTACTAGCAAATTTTAAAAAAGAAGAAAGAAAAGGGGCTGGGAAGGTGGCTCAGTGGTAGAGTACTTGCCTTGCAGGCAAGAGGCCCTGGTCCGATTCCTCAGCACCACATAAGCAGAAAAAGCCAGAAGTGGCACTGTGGCTCATGTGGTAGAGCGCTAGCCTTGAGCTGAAGAGCTGAGTAACAGTGCCCAGGCCCAGAGTTCAAGCCCCATGACCGACAAAAAAAAAAGGAAGAAAGAAAAAGGGAAAAGCACAACAAAGCAACAACAACAAAAACAATGTGGTGCTGAGTTGGTGCCAAGGTACAGGAAAAGGGAAGCAAAAACCCTTTCAAAGTAATAATGCACAACACTCTGAGAGATGAGCCTGCAAAGGAAGACAAAGGTCTACGTGTGAATGTATAATCGTCCTCACTCAACAAACAACCATAACATACCTTCTCAGAAAATCACCCATCTTGTTAATAAATTTTTCACAATAATGAAGAAAATGTAAGCTTTTTTTTTTTTTGGGGGGGGGGGGTGTCCGGTCATGGGGCCTGAACTCTGGGCCTGGGCGCTGTCCCTCAGCTCTTCAGCTCAAGGCTAGCGCTCTACCACTTGAGCCACAGCGCCACTTCTGGTTTTTTTTCTTTTTGCTTACGTGGTGCTGAGGAATCGAACCCAGGGCCTCATGCATGCAAGGCAAGCGCTCTACCACTGAGCCACCTTCCCAGTATAACCCCTGCTTTCACTGTATTTGATGTCGGTATAATTTGTGGAGGGGAAGGGGAAAAACAAATTGTTTAAATAGGGATACAGGTGGACCCATTGCAATAATGAGATGTACAAGTCGTTATGCCGAAAATGAACTTTACAACTGTGGTGTGGAGGGGGGAGTGGGGAGGATTGGGGGGGGGGGGGAGGATGGGAAAGGAAGGGAAGGGGAAACAAAGGAGGAGGCTACAATGCTTGATAAGAAATGTACTCATTATCTTGCCCATGTAATGGTAACCCCTCTGTACAGTATTTTCACAATTAAAAAAAAAAGATTCCTCAACAGCTGTAATAAATAAATAAATAAATAAATAAGAGACTAACAGTGGAACAATTTACTAGGGGATTCTTAAATTTATACAGTCTAATATAAATATAAAATGTTATGCATTGAATAAAATCTAGAACCAAATAAAATTAAATTGTTGCATTGAAAAAAAAATGTAAGCTCCTAACTCTGAATTCAAGCCACAATAATCATAGAAAAGTCATAGCAGCATTGGCATCACTTGCCTCCTTTTCTGAACGTAAGCATTTACTCTTCAGGGGGAGACTGGACTGAAGAATATCTGCATGATTCCTAATAAAAAATGAGCCACAGTAAAATAAATGTGGCTAGTGTTATGATTAATAAATATATAATGATTAATATAACACTATAAATACATGATAAATAACTTTCAAAGTCTAGATAAGAAAAAGTGAGGTGTATTAAAATGTGAGGCATTGTTCTAATAAAAAATCACCTTTTGATTTTGTAAAAAAAGAAAAAGTGAGTAAAATTAACGTTCTTTTTTTTTTTTGTCGGTCATGGGTCTTGAACTCTGGGCCTGGGCGCTGTCCCTCAGCCCTTCAGCTCAAGGCGAGCGCTCTACCACTTGAGCTACAGCGCCACTTCCAGTTTTCTGGTGGTTTACTGGAGATAGGAGTCTCACAGTCTCTCCTGCCCGGGCTGGCTTTGAACCACGATCCTCAGATCTCAGCCTCCTGAGTAGCTAGGATTACAGGCGTGAGCCACCAGCGCCCTTAAGACTCTTATCTCCAATAAACCACTCAGTAAACTGGAAGTAGTGCTATGGCTCAAGTGGTAGAGAGCTAGCCTTGAGCTAAAGAGCTGAGGGACAGCACCCAGGCCCAGAGTTCAAGCCCCACAACTGACACACACACGAAAAAACAAAACAAGAAGAAGGAAGAAAGAAAGAAATTATACAGCTGGGGGAGAAACTGCAAGAGAGCGACATTGTCCAAAAAGAAATGTACTCGTTACATGACTTATATAACTATAACTTATCCTCTCTATATTACCTTTCTAATAACAATTAAAAAAAAAAAAGAAACTATACAGCAAGGCAAAAATATGCTTTTGTTATGCATTTTGAATGTGATGAAGACAATACTTTTATCCAAAGTGAGATTTTTATCATACTATTTTTTTTAACTTTAACTTTGTTTCTCTTATTTGGGCTTTTTAGATAAGAATTTCAGGTGGTGAACAGATGTACTTTTAACACCAAAGATAGAAAAGCAAGGACTGGTGGAACAGGCAAGCAAGGGCGGCCCTACATACTCAACAAGGCTTAATGGTACCAAAATGGAAACCACTTACACTTCACACAGCTGAGCTTCTAAGGAGGTGGAAAAAAATGCTTTTGTATTTAAGTAGAAGATAAGAAAACAACTAGGTAGAACTGGACGCCAGTGGCTCATGCCTGTAATCCTAGCTATTCAGGAGGCTGAGATCTGAGGATCACGGTTCAAAGCCAGCTAGGGCAGGAAACTCTGTGAAACTCTTATCTCCAATAAACCACTAGAAAACTCGAAGTGGTGCTGTGGCTCAAGTGGTACAGCGCTCACCTTGAGCTGAAGAGTGCAGGGAAGCGCCCAGGTCCAGAGGAGTTCAAGCCCCATGACCGACAAAAAAAAAGAAAAGAAAAAAAACAACTAGGTAGAGAAGAACCAAAAAAAAAAGCATGAGAAATAGTAGTAAAGGCAATCTAAAAAATGTATAACCAGTCAGATATGATCTATAGTCTCAACGAAATAATGATGGATCATAAAAGATTTGTTTCTAATAAATGTACAATCCCACACCTATAATAAATTTTTAGTAACTACTGTACAGCTCTGAAGACTGGAAGTGAATACCTCAATGGCTCCATCTTCATCTCCGAATGCAATATACTGAAGAGTTGGACTTAAACAACAACAGCTAACTTGAGCTTCAGTCAGGTAATCAATCTGACCTGTTTTTCCATTAATGAGCTAATAAAAAAAAATAAGACACAGTCATTAGGTTTTAAGACAATTTTTTTTGTCCTTTAGAACAGAGGTTTTCCAACTGAACAAATAAAATGCAGAGAATAACCAAGAATTCCCAGGAGAACAACATAGCCCTATACTAGTTCGGCATCTGCATTTAGCACTTTATGCTTTCATTTCATTTTGTGGTTCAATTACATTTTCATAAAATAAAACAAGCTTTAAAAGGTTTAAAAAGCAGCTGCTGTACCACCACCTGAGATCCATCTGTCTGGTTGATAATCCCACAGCAAGCTCCACACCCTATTTTCCATTTCTTCACAAAGCCTATTTTTAAAAGGTTATCGTTTGTTAAAATGCACTTGTCTAATATTTTTCAAAGGTGTTGGGAAAAAGAACTAAGACAGAAATGACACAAAAACACAACTCTAAATTAAAATGAACTTTTATATTCTCCCAATCACAATAAAATTAAAATTTTTCTACTTCTGGAGAGGCATCAAAAGACCCATTAAGTGAAGTAAGCCAGACCCAAAGAAATATAGGTCCCACGGTTTCCCTCATTTGCAATAATTAGTATATGTATAGGATAATTTTATCAGATGAGCAGAAAAGCTCAAAAGCTATGTACGTATGACCACATAAGATGATGCTAAGCAAAATGAACCCTAAGATATGGACACAAGAGGTCTTTCATTGTTGCTGTTTTTAATGTACTATGTGATTTTGTTTCTTTTGTACGTTCTTACCCCTATCCCCTGTTGTCATTATACTTGATTTTGGTACCCTGCATCTTGTATATATACATTTATCTGATTTGAGGAGGGGAAGGGGAATAACAAAATGCTGAAACAAGGACACAGGATGACCCATTGCAACAATGATACCCACAAAACATTATGTTGGAAATGAGCTTTACAAGTTGGGGGTGGGGGAGTGAGGAAGGTGGAGGAGGGAAGAGATAATAGGAGAAAAAAAAAAGAATAACTAAGGACTAGGAATGTGGCTTAGTGCTTACCTAGCATGCAAGAGGCCATAGGTTTGATTCCTCAGTACCACATAAACAGAAAAGGTCAGAAGTGGTGCTGTGGCTCAAGTGGTAGAGTGCTAGTCTTGAGCAAAAGAAGCTCAGGGACAGTGCACAGGCCCTGAGTTCAAACCCCAGGACAGGCAAAAAAAAAAAGAATAAGACTAAGATTACTGAGTTCAAGCTCCACAGCTGACAAAAAAAAAAAAGTAGTTCACGGAATCATTAGCTATGACAATGTTTGTCCCTCTCAACCCTACTTCTTTCAGATAACCAGCAGGACAAGGGAGAATGTCTCACTAGCTCACATAAAAGCCACAATGACCTGCCCTTTTCCACCTTCTGTCTTTACCGTATCTCTCTGCCTCTTCTCGTCACTTAGCTCCTTATGATACCACTTCCTATATGGCTTACTACTCAGCTGCTTCTCATAGGCTGGACACCATAAAGACAGCCTCTGCATTCAGTTTCCCATAAGATTCTCCTGTTCTTCTTACAATGCTATCACCACTTCCAGGGCTTCTCTATCAGGCAGTGCCAACTACACTGGACTTCCATTCTGAAGACATTTTATTCTGCCACTAATCTAGTGATGCTGACCTGCTATTGAATGCCACTGCTCTCCGTAGGCATCTCTTGTCCCTATTACCACCACTGGGACTCCAGTCAGTAGAGATTTCCTGATGTGTCCCATTCTTTGTTTGAGGAAAGTGGGAGAGCAGACTAGATTATGGATCCTAAAACAATTTTGATATTATAACACAAACTTTTCCTTCAATAAGTATTTATAGGACAATGTGTAAGTAAATGAATGAAACATGTATCCTTCAGATATAAAGTCTAGCTCCCTCCATCTCAGTTCTGATGATTCAGACATGCCTGAATCACTACTGTGAACAAGTCTGTGGTATTCTTAAGGTTCCATATGAATCAAGGAATGAGGTCATAGATAGCAACCAGAGAGGAACAAGGCAAAGTGAGATAGCTCCCAATTTAATTCTAAATACTGGCATATTTAACCATCAGGCTTATGTCCCATCTATTTATTCAACTTTTATTCACTGAGTAGCTATTAAGACTGTATAATTATGCCTGATCCTAAGTTCAAAACTAGCAAGAAAAATTATGAGTTCAACCAAAACAATTTTCAAATTTTCTTTTTTAAATACATTTTTATTGTAAAAATACTGAACAGAGGGGTTACAGTTACATGAGTAAGGTAATGAGTACATTTCCTATCAAGCATTGTTACCTCCTCCTTTGTTTTTCCCCTACCCTCCTTTCCCTCCCACCTCCACAACTATACTTCCCCGCCCCCCCACCTCACCACTTAAATTGTAAAGTTTGTTTTTCAACATGACATCTTGTATATCTCATTGTTACAATGGGTCACCCCGTATCCCTATTTAAGAATTTTGTTTTTTCCCTTCCCCTCCCCAAGCTGGAGAAGTGTATATACAAGATGCAGGGCACCGACATCAAACCAATTATTTTCTAAAAAACAAAAACAAAAAACACTCACTTGTAGATGTTGTCTGTTGTCAACTGCAAGGATCACTGCTTCATTTTCTTGAAACAGAACATCTACTTCTTGCTTTAACACTATAGCAGAGTTCTCACATACCTTCTTTGTTTCCCAGACCTGAGTTAAAGATGAAGAAATTAAAATAACTATATAAGTCTATCCTCTGAGATAATGTAAAAACTAGTCTTAGTGTTAAAGTAAGGTAACAAACTATGATTCACAGTTAAAATGTCCATGCTACACTTTCAATTGTTAAGATTATAATTCAACAGCAAATATTTGTTAACTTCTATCAGTATAAATCAGTTAGTATTAGGAGTTATGGCCTCTATAGCTCAAATGTCGCAGCATGAATTCTAGTTCTACATAAAGCTATAACTCTGGACAGGTTACTAAACCCAACACTACTCAAAGGAAGAACCATCTGCTATTTCTCAAATTGATACCAGATAACGAACTGGCACCAGAATATAAATTAACTATTATCAACGAACAGTCTGTAACACCAGGTTTAGTGACAGAGCTCACTGTTTTCAACAAGACCTCCTTGGTCAAGGATTTATATTCTAGCTCAAGCTTGATACATTTTAGCTAGCAATGACCTTTCAGGCATTTTCCTGGCCCGTCTGTGCCTGTCTCAGCTGCACAAAGAACTATATGAAAACTAATAAATTAATACATATACAATATGCTGTACAATGTCTAATATACAATAAGCGGTAAATAAGTTTTGATCATGATTTGTACAAAACACTGTATTAGATACTACAGGCACCTGTGTTTTTGGACTCAAAGAACCATACATAATTCTAAAGTTGTGAATAAATAGGTGAACCAGTAAAGCACTGAAAGTATAGAGTAAATCAAATCAATACTTGAAGTCAGAATTTGATTAAGCACCATAAAAAATTGACATAGAATTTTATGGCATTAAGGAAAAGAGACAGTCTTGTAAATGAGGAAGGTTTGAGGGGACTGTAGGACAGTTATGTAAGGTATTCCAAACAAAAGAAGCCACTTAAGCAAAAGACTAAAAGAAGCAAGGTGTTTGAAAAAATGTAAGTGGTTCATGGAGGCTACCTGGAAAATAAGCTGAAAAACACACTGGAACCTGATAAGACCATACTATGAAGAAGCTTAGGGGCTGGGAATGTGACATAGTGGCAGAGTGCTTGCCTAGCATGCATGAAGCCCTGGGTTCAATTCCTCAGTACCACATAAACAGAAAAGGCTGAAAGTGGCATTGTGGCTCAAGGGGTAGAGGAAGCACTTTGCCTAGAGCAAAAAAAGGTCAGGGACATTGCTCAGTCCCTGAGTTCAAGCCAGAACAAAAAAAGGAGGAGGAGGAAGAAGAGGAGGAGGAGGAGGAGGAGGAGGAGGAGGAGGAGGAGGAGGAAAAGGAGGAAGAGAAGGAAGATGTGGTGGTGGTGGAGGAGAAGCAGAAGCAGCAGCAGCAGCAGCTCAGAAATATGCATTTGCTTTGGTAAACAGGAGTGGGGTAAAAAATCTGCTTAAACAAAAATGACATAATCAGGAATGTGGGTACAGCTCAATGGTAGCATGTACATGTTTAGCAGGCATAAGGCCTTGGCTTAATTTTCAGCACATATGCATGCACACAGAGACAGACATGGTGCTGGAAAAATATATTGGAAATATCACATAGGAAAACAAGAAAGGAGACCTGGCAGACCCTCATATAAAAGAAGCAACAGGTGCAAGTTGTGAGGATCTGAATCTCAGGGTGGTAGGAATAGAAGAATAGAGATAAACAATAAAAAACGCAAAGGTAGAATCTATGAAAATTAGCAAGTAATTACATGTGGGAATTTGGGATACAGGAAAGAGCCAAAAAACTACTCTCAGGTATCAAATGAAATACATGTAGATTTAATCAATGGACTTTCCATAGCACCTGGCCCACAGTAACAAATGAACATGTCTGAATCCATGAGATTGTTATAAGCCACATGATCACACTTTCCCAGAATGAATATGAATCTAGCAGTTTCCTATTTTACTTTCCCAAAGACTGTCATCAGTTTCTTAATTTGTAGAAGGTTTAAATGTTTAAAATGAAAGTCACAGTATTTCTCACCCTGATTGTTTGGTCATCAGAAGATGTCAAAAAGGAGGATCCATCAGGGGAAAACATCACACCATGAACCCAACTTAAATGCCCTCTGCAATCAGCTACCTTTAAACAGGAGTCTATATTCCACAACTGTAGAATAAACAGAATATAGGAAATTAAATCATAAGCATTTGGAAAATAGCAAGAATGACCCAGCAATACTACTTGCACAAACACAGCCCCAAAGCATACTATAAACAATACAAATCACTTGTGTAGAAAATTATTTATTGTACTATTATGTTTTAATAGCAGAAGACTGTAAAGAACACAAATGACCATGTGGGAGTAGCTCAGTGGTTGTATGTATGCTTAGCAAGTATAAGGTCTTGCATTCAATCCCCACTACTCATTTATGTATGTATCATACATAAGGAAAATACCTTGGAAGCCACAAGGGAAACAACTGAATGAGCTACAGTTGATCACACAATACAATAATATGCAAAACAAAATAGGGAAAAAAAACTTGTAACTTACCTCTTAGATATACTGTTAACAAAAAGTAAACAGATAAATATATACCCTACACCTTTTATAGAAGTTGGAAATGAAAATATGTCAATATAGAGATGGATATATATGCATAGATATTTGCTTATATATGCAAAATGAAATACTGTTACCCATGAAGTAGGAAAAATGAGTGGGTAAGAAGGGATAAGGATAACTGAGTTTCCTCTGACTAGAATTTATTATAAAACTTTGATTTGGGATCATGAAAATGGTTTATCTATTTTTTAAAAACCTAAAAAATAATGAGATAAGCATAAGCAGCTTCCACATATAAACTATTTTTCATTACTTCTATCATCTAACTTTCATTTGAACTGACTGCAAAATCCTACAATAAATGAATGCACTAATGGTAGCATGTACACACTTCTCTTGTTATTTGTGCTCATTACAAATTGTCGATGTCTCCCACCAGTCTGGCTGTATTTTGTCCTGAGTTCTGCTCTACATTACTTAAATATATTCCAGTCTATTGAAGTATCATGTGTGCCTGGGCTCCTCTCATTACACTTTGAATTACAGACCTACTTTATGACTTCAGAACGAACAGACAAAACAAGTACTTCATCACATGTCCAATAGTTTTCATTCAGTGAATGCTATGGTTACAAAATAATCATATGAAATTTCCTCTGCCATATCTCTAGAGTCCATGCTGGGATATATGGAGCTAAAGGCCAGAAATGAAAATTATTACACAACTGAAAAATCTCCCTTGAGAATTCTTCTCTATTCCATCCTTGTTTTCTGAGCCTCCAAAGCCAAGTACCTACATTTCAAGAAAGAAGACAGTTCATAGAGCTAAGGATAATAGAGGGTAAGAACCTTAAAAGGGATCAAAAAAAACTGTCAAAATTCTGACAAAACCTAGAGGGGAAACACCAATCACATCTTCCTTGAGTATCTACAGGTAAATTCAAAGTGCCCTAGCAGAGCTAAAGCTTCTGGTTCAAGCTTTCTGCCCAAGAGAACACTGCCCCCCACACCCTACTTCTTCACACTGTATTGAAGGGACTGGTGTTCTTTAACTCACTTGCCTCTGCTTACAACAGAAAGGTTCTCAGCATGGAAAGCCTTCAGCCTACTTGTACTTCTGTCCCTAAGAATTAGGAGGAAGAGCCTACAGAGTTTACTACCAACTCTCAATCTGTTACTTCCGCACTGAACAGCTACTCAAGGGTAAGGTTGGCAAACACTCTTAAAACCTGTTGGAATAGCACGTAACAATGAAGAAATGCTTGCAACAGCAAGTAGTCTTCTCCTGAAGGGAAGCCAGTGAACCAAGTCAGTTCTCTGCTCTGCAGATAAAGAACCAGACCCCTTTCCTCAGAAGGTCAATCTCAATCAGCCTCAAGCTACCTGCTGCTCAGATGGCCCTGAGGAACCAAGTGTGGGGAAATGTATCTATCTTTGAAGGAAAGATACAATCCATTGCCTTCTGTAAAGTTTAAATACCAGCTCCTTAGGTAGATTTATTTCAGGGCTAGTTAGATATAAACTCTAAATATAAAGTTGATTAGATAAGCACAAAGTTATAAACCAGAAATAAACTGGAGCCATTTAATTTTCTAGTGCTTGGTAATGACAGTACGATGTTAACCAATTTGAAATCTAACTTCCATCTTGAATCTGAACTCAACACTTAACTTTTTATTTTTTCTTGTGCCTGTCCTGGAACTTGAACTCAGGGCCTGAACTTTTTTGCCCAAGAACACCACTTGAATCACAGTTCCACTTTTGGCTTTTTTGCTTGGTTAATTGGAGATACGAGTCTCACAGACTTTCCTGCAGGTCTAGCTTTGAATCTCGATCCTCAGATCTCAGCCTCTGAGTGCCTAGGATTACAGAGGTGAACCAGCTCATCATTTCTTTTCTTTTCGTTTCTTTTTTTTTTTTAACTGTTATTAAAAAGTGTTGTACAGAGGGGTTCCAGTTACATAAGTCATGTAATGAGTACATTTCATTTTGAACAGTGCCCATACCTATACTGTTCAAGAGATGCTATATTTTAGCTTAGGAAACCTGTGGTCATCACACTGTTTTCCCAGCCCATGAACACTCTAGACATGCTTGGGTGAACAGCACTTTCATTTTCTGTCATACTGCTAAATCAAGTCTTCAATCACTGTTAAGATAATAAATATGGCTATACAGTTTAGTATCACAAGGCTACAGGTCATTAATATATGAAGAAAATACTGTATAATTTCTCAAGCAAGCATCTTATTCCCTATTATCCTTGGATATCTGGAGACCCAAACTTACTGAAGAAATTCAACTACTCACCTCCACACAGTACTGGGACAGGGCCACCACTGCTAAATGGTTCTGAGGGGAGAAGTCACAGTACTGAATGGTGCTATGATGGCCTGTATGGATTTTTGCCGATATACAACTGGTATGCATGTCGAAAACCTGTCAACATAAATAGAGATATATATAAAGGTAAAATATTTTAACACATAAGCCAAAGCCAATAAAAAGAAAATACTGAAAGCTGTGCACCCATGGCTCATATCTCTAACCTTAGCTACCCAGGAGGCTGACATTTGAGGATCGAGGTTTGAAGCCAGACCAGATAGGAAAGTTTATGGGATTCTTAGCTCCAATTAACCACCAAAAAGCCAGACGTAGAGCAGTGGCTCAAGTAATAAAGTGCTAGCCTTGAGCAGAAAAGCCTAGGGACAGCATCCAGGCCCTGAGTTCAAGCCCTACTACTGACTCACAGACACACAAAAAATAACAGTATTAGGAAAACTGAAAGCACACATTGACTGGCATAAGCATTTTTAATTTATCTGAGTCTATGCCATTCCTTGAGGGAAGAGTCTGTCCCCAATAGTAAACAAAATTAAAGAAACACTGGAAGGAGGAGATGAAAATAGTGATTGATTAAGATGCTTTGTACATATAAATTGACATATTTAAATGACAACCAGGAAGCTGGAACATGTTTGGTGGGAGAAGGGGGAAGTTCAAAGAGAGGGTAGACAGATGAATAGAGAGAGGGAAGGTGAAGAATGCTCATCCTCTCAATTTACCTGGTTTCATTTTCACACACATATTCAATGTACATATGTGACAATGCAACAAGGTACACTGAAGAGATGAGTGGAGCTGGGAGAGACGGGAAGAATGATGAAAAGGGTCCCACTGACCAAGATGCACTGTACTCACATGCTGATCAAACCCTTTCATATAATAATTACTTAAGGATAATAAAATAATTAATAAATTGAAATGTTAAGTTGAAGCCATTTTGTACAACTATTTATAAAGAAAATCATTTTTAAAGGATCAGCTAGAAGCAAATTGAATCTAAATTTATTTTTTTAATGCCTCAAATCAAAAATAAAATGTAAGTCCTACAAAACTACCATCATTAGCCAGGCATCAGTGGCTTGTGCCTGTAATCCTAGTTACTCAGGAGGCTGAGATCTGAGGATCATGGTTCAAAGCCAGCCTGGGCAGGGAAGTCCATGAGACTCTTATCTCCAATTAACCACCAGAAAACTGGAAGTGGAGCTTGTGGCTCAAGTGGTAGAGCGCTCGCCTTGAGCTGAAGAGCTGAGGGACAGTGCCCAGGCCCAGAGTTCAAGCCCCATGACCAACAACAACAACAACAAAACTACCATCATCACTCATAAATGGTAGTACATTATTGATAATCATAAATAAGATATAGTTCAATATACTTCTATAATATGACTCATTTGACACTTTTTTTTTTTTTTCCAGTCGTGGGTCTGAACTCGGCCTGGGCACTGTCCCTGAGCTCTTTAGCTCAAGGCTAGCGCTCTACCACTTGAGCCACAGTGCCACTTCTGGCTTTTTCTGCTTATGTGGTGCTGAGGAATCGAACCCAGGGCCTCATGCATGCAAGGCAAGCACTCTACCACTGAGCCAACTTCCCAGCCCCTGACACATATTTTATACAAAGGAAAATTCATCACAAATTTTCTCTCAAGCTGGCCTAAGAGAAAAAAAATCTTTGTGAATAAATGAATGGACTAGCCAAATTAATATACAGAGCAGTTCTACCAAATGCTTGTTTATTTAAAAAAGAAAATGAACCTTCATAAATGAAGAAGATCAAAATAATATAGAGTAAAAGCTTACTAAAATGAAATTAACTCAATCATTTCTATTTCTTTGCAGAGGTACCAAATTATTCCATTATGATTAATCATTTTCTCAATTTTGAGCCAATAAAAACCTAACTTTTTTTTTTAGTAATACACCTTCTTCAATATTTGAAAGGTTTTAATATGTTCTGCAGTTTTTTTTTCCCAAATGACAAAATGATTTAAACAGTGAAGTAGGGCTAGGACGGTGGCTCAGTGGTAGAGTGTTTGCCTTGCATGCATGAGGCCCTGGATTCGATTCCTCAGCACCACATAGGCAGGAAAAATTGGAGGTGGCACTGTGGCTCAAGTGGTAGAGCGCTAGCCTTGAGCTGAAGATTTGAAGGACAGAGCCCAGGCCTAGAGTTCAGGTCCCATGACCAACAAGACAAAACAAAACAAAACAGTGAAGTATGTATGTGCATACAGTATATTGATACAGTCTAGCTGTTTAGCACCGGGCACAATCCTCAAGAAGAAAATAAAGACTCCAAGTGGGAGCTACGAAGAGACAAAGTGGGTGGTAAAGGAGCACAGCAGTGCAGGTAACAACAAAGATCAGGAAATCATATTGGATTCTTATAAAGCAGGTGCTAAGAGGGAATGAAAAAAATCTGGCAATGTGGAATATGAAGTTATCCTCATCCTGAAGTAGCAAAAGAGAAAAGATGTAACAATAGGAAAAAACAAGCAATACTAAAGTGGGGAGAGAAACAAAGGTGAAGAAGGAAAAACCAGAGTAAGAAACTAGGATCTACATGAAATTATGATTACTGTAGAGCAGTTTTATTCCAGCATGAGAAATAGGGAGCTAGCTTATAGGTTTTTAAAATAATGAGGCATTTCCTACATATATAAATATATATAATTTATATTTTATAAATACATATAAAAGTTATATTCCTTTTTCACTAGAACAGATTTTTTTTTTTTTTTGGGTCCGGTCGTGGGGCCTGAACTCTGGGCCTGGGCGCTGTCCTGAGCTCTTCAGCTCAAGGCTAGCGCTCTACCACTTGAGCCACAGCGCCACTTCCGGTTTTTTTCTTTTTGCTTATGTGGTACTGAGGAATCGAACCCAGGGCCTCAGGCATGCAAGGCAAGCGTTCTACCACTGAGCCACCTTCCCAGCCCAGAACAGATTGTTTTTTAATCTTTAAAAAAAAAACATTTCTTGCTGGGTGCTGGTAGCTCAGCCTGTAATCCTAGCTATTCAGGAGGCTGAGATCTGAAGATTGCAGTTCAAAGCCAGCCCAAACAGGAAAGTCCCTGAAACTCCAATTAACCACCAGAAAATCAGAAGTGGTGTTGTGGCTCAACTGGTAGAGTACTAGTCTTGAGCTGAAGAGCTGAGGGACAGCGTTCAGGCCCAGAATTCAAACCCCTGACCGAAGGAAAAAAAAAAAAAAAAAACTTTCCTTAGCCAGATTCCAGTGTTCACACCTATCTACTCAGGAGGCTGAGATCTGAGGATCACCATTCAAAGCCAGCCCAAGCAGGAAAGTCTGTGAGACTCTTATCTCCAATTAACCACCAAAAACCCAGAAGGGGCTGTGGCTCAAGTGACAGAATGCTAGCCTTGAGCAAAAAAAGCTCAGGGACAGCACCCAAGCCTTGAGTTCAAGCCCCCAAGACCAAAAAAAGAAAAAATAAAATTCTTTCCCTCAAAAGCACAGGCACTGATTAAAAATCCCAAAACTGTAAGGAATGAGGGAAGCAAGCAACCCAGCAAGCTTTTCCTCAACATCACTGATCATTAGAAAATAATTAAACCACAATGAAATACCACTTCCTACATAGGATGGATATAATTTTGAAAATGGAAAATAACAAGTGTTATCAAAAACACAGTGGAGGGGAAGGGCAAAAACAAATTGTTTAAATAGGGATACAGGTGGACTCATTGCAACAATGAGACGTACAAGTCATTATGTCGAAAACTAACTTTACGGGGCTGGGAAGATGGCTCAGTGGTAGAGCGCTTGCCTTGCATGCCTGAGGCCCTGGGTTCAATTCCTCAGCACCACATAAGAAAAAAAGCTGGAAGTGCACTGTGGCTCAAGTGGTAGAGCCCTAGCCTTGAGCTGAAGAGCTGAGGGACAGCGCCCAGGCCCAGAGTTCAGGCCCCACAACCGGACCAAAAAAAAAGAAAACGAACTTTACAACTTTGGGGGGGGAGGGGAGGAGGGTTGGGGGTAAGGATGGGAAATGGGAAGAGGAAACAAAGGAGTAGCCTACAAGGCTTGATGAGAAATGTATACTCATTGTCTTGCCCATGTGATTGTAACCCCTCTGTACAGTATTTTCACAATTTAAAAAAAAATCACAGTGAATTTGGCCAGGTGCTGGTGACTCACACCTGTAATCCTAACTACTCAGGAGGCTGAGATCTGAGGATCACAGTTCAGAGCCAGCCCAGGCACAAAAGTCTGTGAGACTCTTATCTCCCATAAACCACTAGAAAACAGAAAGTGGCGCTGTGGCTCAAGCGGAGCTAGAGTACTCGCCTTGAACTGAAGAGCTGAGGGATAGAGCCCAAGCCCAGAGTTCAAGCCCCACGCCCGACAAAAAACCAAACAAAAAAACAAAAAAACAGTGGATTTGGAATCCTTATACATTGCTTGTAGGAATGTAAAATAGTTCAGGTACTATGGGGAAAGTCTAATAGTTCTTTAAAATGCTAAATACAGAATTACCACATGACCCATCAGTTCTACTCACAGGTATTAAAAACATTAAAAGCAGGAACTCAAACAGATATTTATATACCAATGTTCATTGCAGTATTATTCATAATAGCCAAAAGGTAGAAATAAGAATCCACACAAAAATGAATAAATAAAATCTGATACATACAAACACATGCCATGATAGGATACTATTCTATCGCAAAGAGAAATGCAGTTCAGATACATGCTACAACATGGATGGACCTTGAAAATTCTATGTGCAATGAAATGAAGACATAAATGGACCACTTGTATGAAATACCCAGTATATGCAAATTCATAAGTTATGTTATAGGTTACCAGGGGCTGAGGTACCAGCTCAAGGCCAGCCAGAGAAAAAAATGATGCTGGGTAAGACAAAAAAAATGAAAGGACTAGCTATAATTCTATAATCCTAGCTATAGAATAAGATCTGAGGACTGTGGTTTGAAGCCAACCCAGGCAGGAAGGTCTGCGAAACTCTTATCTCCAATTAACCTCCAGAAAAACAGAAGTGGCACTGTGCTGAAATGATAGAGCATTCACCTTGAATAAAAAAAGCTTAGGGATAGCTCTCAGGCCCTCAGTTCAATCCCCATGACCAACACACACACAGGAAAGAAAGGAAGAGAGAGAGAGAAAGAAAGAAGGAAGGAAGAAAGAAAGAAAGAGACAGAGAGAGGGAGGGAGGGAGGGAGGGAGGGAGGGAGGAAAGAGGAAGGAAGGGAAGAGGGAGAGAGAGAGAGAAAAATGGGGGGAGGAAGGAAGGAAGGAAGGAAGGAAGGAAGGAAGGAAGGAAGGAAGGAAGGAAGGAAGGAAGGAAGGAAGGAAGGAAGGAAGGACAGGAGAGGACGCTCCAGTAGTAAAACACTTGTCTAACAAGTATAAAATCTGAGTTCAATCCCTGGTGGGGGGGGGGGGGGGGGGGGGCGGGGGAAGGAGGAAGATATATTCTTCTTACTCACATTTTTCCCATACCTTTTTCATTCCTTTTTGAAAACATCACAATCTGGCTCAATTGTTAATGAGTATTTATCTCTATTAGAGTCATCCTACTATATAAAACCTTAGGGATTTAAAAGTACTTTGTAAAATCACTAAATGTATTTGAAATTAGTTCCAGAAAGAATAATGCAATGATGTAAGTCAAGCCCAGAAAGACAAATGACGCATGGTTTCTTTCATATGCAGAAGCTAGAGCTAAAATATACCAGGGCATGATAAATTATATTGGACTGTAGGCATTCACACACAGTAAGATATTCTTAGGGGAGAAAGACAAAGGCACAATAACTATGTGACTTTGATCATATAAAATAACATTTATCAAAATGAACTCCAGGAAATGAAAATTTTTTTCTTTGTTGTTATTTTTGTTTTTGTCTTGTTTGTTCATTTAAGGGGGGGGCATGGAAATGGAGGGTCAAAGGGTAAACAAATGTAGCAGTGGTATTTACTAGGAAATGAACTTTACAACTTATGGGTAGGGATGGGAGAAAAAACTGGGAGTGAGGGAAGGAGTGACATTGTCCAAAAAGAAATGTACTCTTAGCCAGGCACCAGTGGATCACACCTGAAATCCTAGCTACTCAGGAAGCTGAGATATGGAGGATTGTGGTTCAAAGCCAGCCCAGGCAGGAAAGTCTGTAAGAAACTTATCTCCAATAAACTACTCAGAAAAAGCCATAAATGCTGCTGTGGCTCAAGTGATACAGCACTAGCCTTGAACACAAAGAAGCTCAGAGGCAGCGCTCAGGCTCTGAGTTTAAGCCCCAGATATAGCAAAACAAAACAAAACCAAAAAAAAGTACTCTTTACCTAATTAATGTAACTTATAACCCCCCTTTCATCATCTTTATAATAGGAGTAAATAAATAAAAATAGAATAAAAAAATTAAAGAGTGATACAGAAAGTATTCACGTTTTAAGTAACTCGAGGAACGCTGACTCAACCTCATCAATTGTACTGCAGGACTACCCAGGTTGTTAAATGTGGCTCTTGCTGTGTACCTTTCATAGCAAAAGCAGAACAAGCTGCTTCCCTGATCTGTGAGACCTGAAAGTCTTTCACGAGCAGGCCTTCCACATCCCCTAGAGTATGCCTGAAGAACTGCATTCTGGGAATCCTGTCCCCCAGATCACACAGCTAGTATAGTGTCAGAAAACAGTGGAAAATGCAAACATTATTAGAAGTTTTCATTTTCTTTATATCAGACTAAATTTGCTGTAAATTCTAATACTTACAAGGATTCTGTTTTTTGCTGCAACCATTATCCTATCACCATCAGCAGACCACGAACAACATTTCACTATGACTTCTGTATCTTCTTGAGAATCTTCTGAATTTAGGAAGAATTGTTTCACATTAATGTTTTTCCTCTCATTTGCTGATCTCACATCCCACAGCTTCAAATTAAAAAAAAAAAGAATTTTTAACAAAAATTCTGTTTTACTCTTAACTCAGATTTAAATATCATACTCTACTTAATGAAGTCTTTTTAACCTATGCAAGATTATATGTCTTTTGAATTAAGTACTTCTGGTTCATTCAGCATCTTCCTAAAGTAAAAAATTAGAAGCACTACCCAAAATGTAGAAGACAGAATGTAAAATTAGATAAAAAGTTAACAGAGTCTCGTATGGTATGGAGGAGGGTAAGATTAGGTGTTGAGTGGGTAAGAAAGAGGAGATGAAGAGTCCATTTGCTGCTGCTGCCCTCTGCTGGGCCATGCACAAAGTGTGCTCCACATGAACAATACACACAGCTGGAAGAGTACACAGGGCCCCATCCAAGCCACATTATAACCCAGCAGAGCTGCTAGAGAATATAGTCCTTAAAACTGAAAGCAGGTATGCTGAAAGGAAGCAAGCTCCTTGTATGCTAAGTAGTGCTATGAAACTAACTGGTTTTTGAAAATGGGGTACAAAACACTCTAACTTCATTCTAAATAGACCTACTTGAATAATAAAAAAAAAAAAAAAAACAGGTCTTCATAAAGATACACCTGAGGCTGGAGTGTCCCAAAGAGAAAAACATCTTTATTCTCCCAGAACTCAATGAGTATAATAATGATAATGGCTACCATGGCCAAAGCAAGAGTTAGGCAAGGAGGAAAGAAGGGGGGAAAAACAACTTGCTTCTCAAGCTTTAACTCAGTTTCCAAAGCATAGCTCCCAGGTAAAATCTGACTTGCCCAGTCAGGTACATCATTCATTCATCTATTTATTGGCAGTACTTAACCCAGAGCATCAAGCATTCTACCACTTGAGCTACATATCCCTAAACTATTTGAATTCATTTTCTTTGTTTTTCTAGACTGGTCTTAAATTCAGATCCTCTATCTCTGCCTTGAAGGTAGCATGCACCATCCACCTGGCTTTTAATTCTTTAAATTGAGAGGAATTTTATATGTTCTATGAAACATGGAAGAAAAACTAAACTTTCTCCCTTGCAACAAATGTGGATAAACTGAATAAAGTAAGAGATCACAGAAAATAAAACAGCCCAAGGTCAGGGCTCATGCCTATAAGTCTTAGCTACTCAGGAGACTGAGATCTAAGGATCTAGGTTCAAAGCCAGCCCGAAGAGGAAAGCCTGTAAGATTCTTCTTTTTGGTTAGTCATGGAGCTTGAACTCCAGGCCAGAGTGCTGTCTCAGCTTTTGCACTCAAGGTTAGTGCTATACCATTTTGAACCAAAGCACCACTTCCTGTTTCTGGTGGTTAATTGGTTAACTGGAGATAAGAGTCATCATTTTATTGGGGGTTTTTTGTGGGGGGAAGTCCTGAGGCTTGAACTCAGGGCCTAGGGCTTGAACTCAAGGCCTGGACACTATCTCTTAGCTTCTTTTGCTCAAGGCTAGCACTCTATCACTTGAACCACAGCACCACTTCCAGCTTTTTCTGTTTATGTGGTACTGAGGAATGAAACCCAGGGCTCCATGGATGTTAAGCAAGCACTCTACCACTAAACCACATTCCCAGTCTGGAGATAAGAGTCTCAAGAACTTTCCTGCCCAAGCTAGCTTCTAGCCATAATCCTCAGATCTGTCTCCTGAGTAGCTAGGATTATAGCAGGCCCAATTAACTACCCCCCAAAAAAGCTAGAAGTAGACCTGTGGCAACAACAATAACAAAAAAGAACCTTCCTTGATACTAAAGAGAAAAACAAAACATAAATGCCTTATCACCCAGAATTCAATCATATCACCCAGAATATATGAGAAATCATACCTGTTTCCCTATCAATAGGAAAAATTAAACCACAGTACTTGGATTTAAGACAGGTAAAGAAAGCTAACAATCTAATTTCATTACACCAGCCTACATTGGACTGGACTGGACTTTAGCAACTAGCCAAGCAGTGATAAAATCTCTCATATTAAGTGATAGTATAAACTATGCCAACATTTCATTTTGTGCAGATCATTGTACTGTATCTAGAGTCCCTGTGCCCTTGTATACTTTAAATGACAATCTTTACATAAAACTCACATTTTATAAATAATTACCATCAAAGACAGATCCTTATCAATATGATGTCATACAAAATGCTTAGAAAATTACAGAGCTATTGGGGCAGAAACTAATTTTATAGTCCTCATCCTCTCAGATGGTAAAAGCTTTAGAAGATTTTGACCTCGAGATGCTATTATCTAACATTATTTTGTAGGACTTCTGCTTACTACGTGTCATGTGTCAGTGCAAACCAGAGATACTAGCATCATAGCACTGTGGGAAAGCCAACATAATCTAGGCTCTCAAGGATGTAGAAATGTCTGTCCCTGGGGCTGGGAAGGTGGCTCAGTGGTAGAGCGCTTACCTTGCATGCATGAGGCCCTGGGTTTGATGCCTCAGCACCACATAAGCAAAAAAAAGCTGGAAGTGGTGCTGTGGCTCAAGTGGTAGAGCACTAGCCTTGAGCTGAAGAGCTAAGGGACAGCGCCCAGGCTCAGAGTTCAGGCCCCACGACCGGACCCCAAAAAAAAAAAAAAAAAGAAATGTCTGTCCCTGCTGCTAGTGACACTCACACTTGAATATAGAAATCAAAACCTGTCCCAAACAAATGAAGACATTTTAAGGTTTCTCTCTAGGTTTATAGAGATCTTAGTTTAATTTGAAGTGACATAGCAAGAGTTTATCATCTTTAAATATGTTTAATAAAGGCTAAAATATGCATCGTGTGATAGAAAAAGATCCCATGGGGGAATGTGGCATCCAAGCAGACAGCTTGGAGAACACTTTGTGAAGGAGACAGCCACCTTACTCTATTCCTGCACAGTAGTCTACTTCATGCCGTCTTTTCATACAAAGAATCTTAACATCAAAAAGAGAGTGCTAGCCTTGAGCTGAAGAGCTGAGGGACAGCGCCCAGGCCCAGAGTTCAAGCCCCATGATCGACCAAAAAAAAAAGAGAGAGAGGAGGAATGTCCAAGGCTATAAGCTCTGGAATCAGTATAAAGTACAAAATGGAAAGGAAATTTAACAAAAGAGGAAAACAAAATCTGATTATAGCATAAGTTACCTGAGTTCCTTATCTGTAGCATCAGGTAAAAAGTCCTCATCTGCTCTCAAAACACCCTCTATGTGGCTGAGTGCAGCTGAATGCAGCTGTGGTCCCGGCCACTTGGGAGAGTACAGGAGAATCATTTGAATCAAGGAGTTTCAGGCCATCCTGGCCAATAATATAGTGAGACCCTGTCTCCTTAAAAGCAAAGCAAAAAAAAAAAAAAACTCTGTATAGAATTTTGTCATTTTATGGTTCATTTATTCACTTACCCTCTTCTCTCACTTGATTCTGAATAACTTCAAGAAGTTAGGTAGTACACTTTTATTTTTAGCACTGAAAACACAAATACTGGATGCTAGGGGGAAAACAATGGAGGGGGTAACAATGCTTAATAAGAAGTGTACTCATTACCTTACTCATGTAACTGTAACCCTCTGTATAGTATCTTTACAATAAAAAATAAAAAAAAAAAAAAAGAAAGAAAAGAAAGCACAAATACTGGACTAAAGGCATGGTCCAAACAATAGATACTAGCCATGAGCCTGAAACCTAAGGAAGTATATGAGGTCCTGAGTTCAAGCCCTGGTATCGATGCCAAAACAAATGAACAAACAACAAAAAAGAAAAACACTAAGCAGATGGAAAAACAAAAGTTATTAAATTCAGAGAAAAGTGTTTGAAAAAGGGGGGAAAGTTACTATATATTGCTATATTGATTAGTCACAGTGATAATAAAAAAAATTGTTCCATGATTTTTGTTATCAAAATCACAAAACAGCTGGGTATCAGGAGCTATAATCCTATTTTAGTACTATATAATCTATAAACTATATATATAGTTGGATGCATCATTCCCCCTATGGGATCTTTTTCTATCACACGATGCATATTTTAACCTTCATTAAACATACTTAAAGATGATAAACTCCCGGGCGCTGGTGGCTCATGCCTGTAATCCTAGCTACTCAGGAGGCTGAGATCTGAGGATCACGGTTCAAAGCCAGCCCGGGCAGGAGAGACCGTGAGACTCCGATCTCCAATAAACCACCAGAAAACCGGAAGTGGCGCTGTAGCTCAAGTGGTAGAGCGCTCGCCTTGAGCTGAAGAGCTGAGGGACAGCGCCCAGGCCCAGAGTTCAAGCCCCACAGCCGACAAAAAAAATAAAATAAAATAAAAAATAAAGATGATAAACTCTTGCTATGTCACTTCAAATTAAACTAAGATCTCTATAAACCTAAAGAGAAACCTTAAAAAGTCTTCATTTGTTTGGGACAGCTTTTGATTTCTATATTCAAGTGTAAATGTTACTAGCACTATAATATATAATTATATAATATTATAGTTATAGTTTATATATATTTATATACTATATAATTATAGTGTCTATAATCCTAGCTACTCAAGTCTGTCTGACTCTTACCTCCAATTAAGTACCAAAAAAAAGCCAGTAGAATTGTGGCTCAAGTGACAGCGTACTAGCCTTGAGTGAAAAAAAAAAGCTCAGGAAAAGCACCCATGCCCCTGACTGTCTTCAAGCCCTAGGACCAGCAGAAAGACAGACACACACACACACACACACACAATTCATTATCAAATCTTAAGACTTTCTATAAAATCATAACCCATTTTAATGATGCACAAAGGCTTACCTTTAATGTTCCATCAGCTGAACAACTAGCCAAAAGCTCATCATCTGGTGAAAATTTGCAGTGATTGACTGAATTTGTATGGCCAAACAAAGTATTTCGACATTCTTTTTGATTCAAATCCCAAAGCTATTTGAGAAAAATTAAAAGATAAAATAAAAAACCAGTACTGGAGCCAGGCATGATGCCATGTACATGTAGTCCCTACTTCTTGGAAGGATCACTTGAGTTCATGAATTCTCAACTGGTTCAATGGTCATTTCTAAGATTTCCCAAACCTTGGGACTACTAACTAGGCTAAAATCGTGTGTGTGTGTGTGTGTGTGTGCGTGTGCGTGTGCGCGTGTGCGTGTGTGCGTGCGTGCGTGCGTGCCAGTGAACTCTGGGCCTTGAGTTCATGAATTCTCAACTGGTCCTTGGGACTACTAACTAGGCTAAAATTGTGTGTGCGCGCGCACACACACGCCAGTGAACTCTGGGCCTCACACTCTCACTTGGCTTTTTCACTCACAGCTAGCACTCTACCATTTGAGCTATGCCTCCAGTTCCAACAATAAAAATCTTTTATTGCCTAAGAAAAGTTGTTTATAACTTGAGTGGATGAGTAGGGATGGGAGAACAATGGAAACGGTGACAAAGACCTATTCCAGTGTGTAGGTCTTGGAGCTGGAACTCAGGGTCTGGGCGCTGTCCCTGAGCTTTTTTTGCTCAAGGCTAGCACTCTACCACTTGAGCCACAGCTCCACTTCTGTCTTCTTGGTGGCTAAGTGGAGATAAGAATCTCACTGACATTCCTGCCTGGGCTGGCTTCAACCTGTGATCCTCAGATCCTCAGCCTCCTGAGTAACTGAGATTATGTAAGAGTCATTAGCCTCTGACACCGGGCAAGAACTATTTTTTGAATCATGCTACAGTTATGATACAAATAGAACTGACTCTACCTCTTTTTCCCTATCATTACATGGTTAAACTTGTGACCTTAAACAATCCAAGGATTCCATTCTACTGGTCACTGGGATTAGAAAGCAATGATCATAAGTCAAATGAGATGAATTAGCATCTTCTCTAATATTAGATTTATAGGATTGGGGAAAGGGCATGTTTCTCTAGTTCTGTAATAAGGAGCTACAAAACCCAAGAAAACCTGAGCTGAGGGTGATCACATTTCCAGTCACTCAGGATAGCATCACTGAACAACTGAGAGGGAAGGCGAACCTAGAAATGGAGAAGAACTTAGAGCCTAAGACCATAACTGAAGCATCTAGAATCAGTACGCACTAATATTATCTCTTTGTTGTTGCTGTTGTTTAAGTAAATATAGAAGTTTCTAATACTGTGACAAGAATAGCCGACCAAAAAAAAAAAAAAGAATAGGGGGAAAAAAGCCCCATCAAGGGGCTGGGGATATAGATCAGTACTACAGTATTTGCTTAGCATGAACAAAGTCCTAAATGCAATCCCTAAGCACAGGGCAGGGGAAACACAAACACCTAATTTTCAATATTCACACTTACTTTGAGGAAGAAGTCACTTGACCCAGTGGCTAAGAGAAGGTGAGTACTGCTGTTAGTGAAATGGCAGCAGTTGACTTGCTCTGAGTGCTCATCATAGGTATGTACTAGTTGCCCAGTCACGGAATTCCAAATCTAAAGAGAACAAAGAAAATAAAAGTTTATAATAATTCATGATTCTCAAAGGGATAACAGGAAGAAAGGCAAATATAAATCACTTTGTAGATGCTATCTATCTTGTTATAAAAGATTTTTTTCATCCAATATGATGCTAATCTCCGCTTTCTCAAAATACAGCAATATTCTGCTTCAAGTTTTATAGGTTACTGCGAAATCCGCACATATCTTCTCCTTAGCACAAATAGCAATGCATGATAATGCTCATTTCCCATTTGTAGTGAAAGACAGCAGTGAAGAAGTCCTATAAGAGAATCACATCATGGACTTCAGATCTGGTGAAGGCTAAAACACAACTCTACCACCTATAATCTGTGTATCCCCCATTGAGCCTGAGCTTTCCTGCATGCCAGTTCTCTCCTCTAAAAAATCGAAACACTGTACCTGTCCTACAAAACTCAACATATCAAATGAGATAATGAACATGGTGCACGTAGAACCCACGGTACCACATGGGTGGTAGAGTAATTGTTTACTAGACTGCACAAAGCCCATAAAAACAAAAGAAAGGAAGAAAAAAGTAAAGAAAGATAGTTCAATGAGGAAAAAAAAAGTTCAAAAGAAAACTAGTTAGCAGGGGCTGGGAAGGTGGCTCAGTGGTAGAGTACTTGCCTTGCATGCCTGAGGCCCTGGGTTCGATTCCTCAGCACCACATAAGCAAAAAGAAAAAAAAAAGCCGGAAGTGGCACTGTGGCTCAAGAGGTAAAGTGCTAGCCTTGAGCTGAAGAGCTGAGGGACAGCACCCAGGCCCAGAGTTCAGGCCCCACAACAGGACCCCCCCCCCCCAAAAAAAAGAAAACTAGTTAGCAGCCTTATTGTCATTATTTAATGTGAGCAAAATCAAGTGCCTTCATCTCTGAATTGGTTTTCCCCATCTGCAAAATGGGATCAATACTTATTTACTTTGCAAGTTGTAGTGAGAAACTGATAATATAACACAAATAAGCTGGTAGTATAAAACCTTTCAGTTAAAAATAATTATCATTCTGTTAATATGTAAGAAAAGCAAAAAGTCTGATACATATGACAAAATTATCTGATAAATCTCTACTAGAACTTGGACTTTTTATTTAAAAGTATTTTTTTGGGGCGGAGCACCAGTGGCTCATGCCCATAATTCTTGCTACTCAGGAGGCTGAGATCTGAGGATCGCAGTTCAAAGCTAGCCCTGCACAAAAATCCGTGGGACTCTTATCTCCAATAAACCACTCAGAAAACCGGAAGTGGTGCTGTGGCTCAAGTGGTAGAGTACTAGCCTTGAGCCGAAGAGCTGAGGGTCAGCGCCCAAGCCCAGAGTTGAAGCCCCACAACCGACAAAAAATATATACATATATTTTTGGGCTAAGAAGATAACTCAGTGGTAGAGTGTTTGCCTTTCATGCATGAGGCCCTGGGTTCAATTCCTCAGTACCACATAAGCAGAAAAAGCTGGAAGTGGCACTGTGGCTCAAGTGGCAGAGCACTACCCTTGAGCTAAAGAGCTGAGGGACAGTTCCCAGGCCCAGAGTTCAGGCCCCACAACCAACAAAAAAAAGAAAAAAAATATTTTTGAGTTAACATATCTTTCTAATGTAAGAGAATTGCACTGTAGAATTTCCATACATGCACACAGCACAGTTTGATCAAATTTATCCCCTCCACCACATTCATATTCCTTTGACCTTTTAGAGGTATTCATGTTTCCTCCCAGAGCATTCCCTCTGTTTTTGCTTTTGTAGTTGTTGTTTTTTTTGGGTTTTTTTTGGTCAGTTGTGAGGCCTGAATTCTGGGCCTGGGCACTGTCTACCAGCTCTTCAGCTTAAGGCTAGCGCTCTACCACTTGAGCCACAATGCCACTTCCAGCTTTTTCTGCTTATGTGGTAATGAGGAATTGAACCCAGGGCCTCATGCATGCAAGGCAAGCGCTCTACCACTGAACCACCTTCCCAGGCCCCCCATTCCTCTGTACCTTATCAAGAACTTATTAGAATCCCTCAGAGGTCCATAATTTATTTTTATTGTCTTTAGGTGGTTGTACAAAGAGGTTTCAATTCAACAGTCCATTTTTAAGTACAATGTATCCTGATCAACATAATCCCTCTTATGGCCCCTCATCTGTCCTAACTCACCAATCCTCTCAAGATGTGTACATTGAATATTATGGCTGCACAAAGAGTTTATTTTATTTTGAAGCTCTTGAATGAATTTTTAGCCTCTCATTTTATATTTTGACCTCTAAGAAACAGGAATTCAGTACTGTTATTCCACATAGCTCTAACTTTGAAAGTCCCCAGCACTTCAAGTATGACTCAGAGTAGAAGCTACAGAGTGAATTATTAACTGTTGGCTATAAAGCCACTGAGTCTAATATACTAAAAGCAGGTTTTCCCAAAGCCTCAGTTTTTTGGGTTTTTTTTGGTCAGTCGTGGGGCTTGAACTCTGGGCCTGGGCACTGTCCCTTAGTTCTTCAGCTCAAGGTGAGTGCTCTACAACTTTAGCCACAGCACCACTTCCAGTTTTCTAGTGGTTTACTGGAGATAAGAGTCTCACAGATTTTCCTGCCTGGGCTGGCTTTGAACTGAGATCCTCCGATCTCAGCCTCTTGAGTAGCTAGGATTACAGGCATGAGCCATTGACACCCAGTTCTATTTTATAGTCCTTTGCAAGCAACTGAAAAGTCAAGGAGAAGTCCCAAACCAACTATCTTGCCAGCCAGCAAAATTCAGTACTCTACAATTCCTTTGGGGGGAAAAAAAAAAGCCTAAAGTGAAGTCTTTTGCCCATACAGCAGTGATAAGACATCTCCCAAGACTCATACTTAGAGGTAAGACACAAGAAAAAGTAATTAATAAAGACAAAAATTGCTCTTCTTAGATTAAGACTAATTGGAGAGAGGTGACAGAACAAGAGAAGATAATGGAGGGAGACATAGAGTATGATCAAAGTACATTACACATATGTATTAAAATGTCATAATGAAAGCTAGTATTTTGGAGCCAGGCACAAGTGGCTCAAACCTGTAAGCCTTGCTACTCGGAGGATGAGATCTGAGGACTGCAGTTCGAAGCCAGTCCAGGCAGGAAAGTCTGTGAGACTCTTTATCTACAATTAACCACCAGGAAACCGTAAGTAGAACAGTGGTTCAAAGTGGTAGAACACTAGCCTTGAGCAAAAGAGTTCAGGGAAAGTGCCTAGGCCCTGAGTTCAAGCCCTATATCTAACAACAACAAAAAACAAAAAAAAAAAAAACAAAAAAAACTTTCATTTTGGACCATTATTATGTACTAAAAAAAAAAACAAGCCCGGTACTGGTGGCTCAACCCTAGCTTCTCAGGAGGCTGAGATCTGAGGATCGAGGTTCAAAGTCTGTGAAACTCTTATCTCCAATTAACCACAGAAGTGGTGCTGTGGCTCAAATGGTAGAGCGCTCACCTTGAGCTGAAAAACTAAGGGAAAGCACCCAGGCCCAGAGTTCAAGCCTCACAACTGACAACAACAACAACAAAAAAAACTGCTTTGATTGTTTCTTCATTTGTTTATACCAGTAAACTCATTTTTTACTGAACACATAAGCCAGTTCAGAAAGGCTAAAAAAGAAAAAAGTTGAGGGAAGTAGAGATAGGGAGGATCACAGTTTAAGGTTAGACAAAAAGTTAATGAGACTCTATCTCAGCAAACAAGCCAGGTACGATGGTTCACATCTATTGTATTAGCTACACAGAAGACTCTGTGTAGAAGAGCTCAGTCCAAGGTCAATTTGGACCAACATAGGAGACTATCTGAAAAATAACTAAAACAGTAAAAAGCTTAAGAGGAAGAACATCTGCCTAGTAAGTACAAAACACTGAGTTCAGACCCCAGAACCAGGACCAACAAAGAAAGAAAAAAAGTATATTTTATATCAGGAATCTGACCTCAGGCAATGATTTTGTGTAACTTTTAATCAGAAGTTATTCAAAGATTTCAACTGACATTTAATCCACAGACCGACCAGTCTATTCATTACTTTATAATTATTCTTATTTTTTTTTTGTGGTGCTGATGTCAAACTTGCACTTGCTAGCACTCTTCCACTGGGTAAATCCTCAACCCCCATTAATTTGTAATTAGTTTTACCCCCTGCCTCATAAATACCTCAGGTTGATCAATCTAAGCATTTTTGCTGGTGCTTAGAAAGAAAAAATTTTTCAGGAAATGTTAATTTACCATGAATCAAGTTATATCAGCAGGTAAGAGTCCTTCAGCCCTAATTATTTTCATCTTTTATGGAAAAAAAAATCAATGGTGATTTCAGCTCAAGAGGAAAATGTTTTCCTACCTTCACTTTTTTATCCACTGAACAGGTTGCTATAAATTTGTCATCTGTAGAAAATGCACAACAAAGCACTTCATCCTCATGAGCCTTGATTTCTAGAAGTTTCTCTCCTGTTTCAGCTTTGAACACCTGAAAAAGCAATAAATGTTTTACTATAAATCATATAATTATAAGTCATCATTCAATAAAAATTTCTTTAAAATATTTTACCCATGAGAACCATACTTGTTAAATGTTGGTGAATACCAATAAGAAGTGGCAGAACATAACTTTAGCTCCTGACACTATTATAGCAAATTATTAACACAATCAAATAAAAAGCATTTCATTCATTGTTTTCTTTCGGTAGATCAAAATCCAAAATAAGATTACCAATCAATGGGCTGGGAAGGCGGCTCAGTGGTAGAGTGCTTGCCTTGCATGCCTGATACCCTAGGTTCAATTCCTTAGCACCCCATAAGCAAAAAGAAAAAAGCCGGAAGTGGTGCTGTGGCTCAAGTGGTAGAGCACTTGCCTTGAGCTGAAGAGCTGAGAGACAGCGCCCAGGCCCAGAGTTCAGGCCCTACGACCAGACCCCAAAAAAACAAAAAACAAAAAAAGATTACCAATCAAGTACTATATAAATAAGGTATGTAATTATAACTTTGGAAAGACTAAAATTACTTTAAATATAAGAAGTTTTTGCTAATTCACTCCTATTTCCTTCTGGAGAACAAATGCAAAGAAAAATATTCATTCTTATTTTCTGAAAATAAATGAGAACTTAGAGGAAACTACTTAAAACATCTTTGAAAATAAGCTATTCCAATTCCTGTTAGCAGACTGAAATCTGTATCTAAGCCTTATATAAATAGTTACTTTACTTGATTACTTCTTTTCATCAGGGCCCTACTCACTATGATTAGGTCCTTGTATCTTTGAACAATTTCCATTTCCACATTAGCCTTAAGTGGCAAATATATGGCAGGTGACTGATTCTCAGGGTAACCAGCTCTTCTTTCTCACCTAAAAAGTTCAGAATTACAAAAATATGTAACCTTATCTTTAAAATCTCAAGAGCTGGGTGCCGGTGGCTCACACCTGTAATCCTAGCTACTCAGGAGGCTGAGATCTGAGGATCATAGTTCAATGCCAGCCCAGGCAGGAAAAGTCCATGAGACTCTTATCTCCAATAAACCACTAGAAAATCGGAAGTGGTGCTATGGCTCAAGTGGTAGAGTGCTAGCCTTGAAGAGCTCAGGACAGCACCTGGGACCAGAGTTCAAGCCCCACAACCGACCACAAAAAAATAAAATCTCTTGAGAAAGCTTTATGTTCAACAAATTTAGATTTTTCTATTTCTAAATTGCAATATTCTTAAATTTGAGGATTTAAATATATTAAATATGCAAAAGATTAGATGCATGCCTCTGAGTTTTTTCTTAAGAGAAATGTCATACCTGTAAGGTTTTATCAGCTCCACAAGAAGCTATTCTCTGACCATTCTCAGAAAAGCATGCATGGTAAACAGCATCTGTATGGGGGCGGACAACCAAGCGGGAGAGATTCTTGATGGTTTTTTTGTTTCTAAATACAAGGAAAAAAATGAACAGATATCCAATGAGAATGAACTGTTTTCTTTCAGTAATAAACTGTTTTTTATAGTGGTTATAGTCCCCAAAATACAAACTCATGAATAACATACAAATGACAGTATAAACTACAGCTAAAGAAAAAACACTATCTAGCACAAGTGACATTTTAGGAGAACAGGTACCCTGTATCAGCCTGCTGTGTGTTACAAAGTCACTAGTTGGAAAAAATTTATTTAGTCACATACATGCTGTCTTCTGTTCTCCTCTAATACAGTAATTAATGATAATGTGTGCAGATAAAACATTATATAAGCAACTTTTTAAAAAACATTCCATCATTTTTAAAATAAAGAACTATTGAAAACGAAGCTAATTTCCTAACTCAAGTTAACACTACACCCACCAGTATGATGATGTACTTTAAAACTGCTTTCTTCCACAATTATCTAGAAACAGTTAGAAAAAGATAAGCAATGTCATTTTCTTTGTATATTAATCTAAGGATTATCAACTATTCCAATACTATATTTATTATATTATTGCTGTAAGGGTAAAGGGTAAAGGAATGCATGCATACTTGAAACAGAAACAAGTATGAGAATAGTAATCTTAGCCACTCAGGAAGCTGAGATCTGAATATCGCAGTTCAAAGACAGACTGGGTAGAAAACAGCCAGGCAGAAAAATCTATGAGACTCTTACCTATAATTAATCACCTAAAAGCCAAAAGTAGACAATGGTTCAAGTAGTAGAGAGTTAGCCTTGAACAAAAAGGCTCAGAGTCAGCACCCGGGCCTTGAGTTCAAGCCCCAGGACTGGCCCGTGTGCAGACATACACACACACACACACACACACACACACACCACCACCACCAACAACAACAAACAAACAAACAAAAAAATGTGACAGGCCAAATAACACAGAAGTAAATCTTAGTTGGATCCTTCCTAGAACTTTACTAGAAGTAATATAAATTAATGTAAGAACTGGAAAACATAAGTTACTTACAAACTTAAAAAGAAACTGACTAAAATTAACTCTGGCCAGGTTTGATGGCACATGGCTGTAATACTAGCTACTCAAGTGGCTAAGATAAAAAAGACCATGTATTCAAACCTAGGTGACAAAACAAAACCTCATCACCCTTTACCCATCTACTTAATTTTCCAAATCTCAGGAAGTAATGTTTACAATGAAAAGCACATAGTAGAAGACCAAAAGGAATGAGTAACGAATGAGTGAATAAATGACTTTTTGGAAACTTATTACATTTAAGCTTTAAGTCTTTCTGCAATTAAAAAAAAAAAGTTCTACTACTGACATAAAGCATTCTTTGAGTATAGCTTGCTCAAAGGTAAGAAAAAATATATATACCTATAAATGAATAACTATTCTATTCTAGGACATTATAGCTTAAAATGCAGTTGATGCAATGGACAAAACAGAAATAAACAATACTTCATAGAAAACAAAAACTAAATTTCTGTCCATCTAATCCCTAACAAGCAGGAATTTATTCAAACTTCCACAGATTTCTAATGAATGCCAACTATGCAACCAGGCAACAGTGGCAGCAGTATCCCTAACTACTCAGGAGACTGAAATCTAAGGATGGTGGCTAGAAGACAGCCTGGGCAAGAAAGTCCCTGAGACTTGTATCTCTAGTAAACTACCAAAAAGCCAGAAGTGGAACTATGGCTCAAGCAAAACTAAGGGACAACACACCTAGGAACTGGGTTTAAGTACCAGCACACACACAAAAACAAAACAAACAAACAAAAAAGGTCTCCAAGTATAAACAGCCTTCTCCAAAGGGGAGGGGAGAGTCTTCTAGAACCACCACCTTCCCTAGAATGGAGGTCAGAGGGCAGTCTGGGCAGTGGCCAGGTACTGGCAAATCCAAAGCATCCTCTGATCTCTGCTGTCCCACATGGCTCCTAGCTGAACTGCTATGCTGCCTTCCACAAAGTTAGCCCTACAGGCCCTGGAGATGGAGTAAACTGACACCAGCAGTAGGCGCTCTCCTCCACCGCCCTCTCCAGGAGCAGAGAACAGCATCTGATGTTTCCTCTGAGAGCTCAATACTGACACATTTGTCATGACGTACCAAGTAAACGCACAGAACAAATAATGAGCCAAACACAAAACTGAAATGAGGCTGTTGGATCCTCCACCCTGCGGGCTGCAATGAGGAGGGCCAGGGGTTGGCTGTGGGCCTCGTCACTTAACCTCTCTGTCTCTGTTTGCATACTTGCAAAAGAGGTTATAAGAGGGAGCTGGGAATGTGGCTTGGTTGTACAATGCTTGCCTGGCATGCATGAAGCCCTGGGTTTGATTCTTCAGTACCACATAAACAGAAAAAGCCAGTAGTGATGCTGTGGCTCAAGTGGTGAAGTGTTATCCTTGAGCAAAAGAAGCTCAGGAACAGTGCCCAGGCCCTGAGTTGAAGCCCCAGGACAGGCAAAAATAAAAATAAATATGTTTATATATATACACACATACATATACACATATATACACATATATTTATATATATGACATATATATATATATATATATATATATATACACATACACAGAACTGGCACTGTGGCTCAAAGTGGTAGAGTGCTGGCCTTGAGCAAAAGAGCTCAGGGACAGCACCTAAGCCCTGAGTTCAAGCCCCACACCACCACCAACAAGAAAAAAATAAATGGGGCTGGGAAGGTAGTTTAGTGGTAGAGTGCTTGCCTACCATGCATGAAGCTCTGGGTTTGATTCTTCAGTACCACATAAACAGAAAAGGCCGGAAGTGCCGCTGTGGCTCAAAGTGGTAGAGTGCTAGCTAGCCTTAGGCAAAAGAAGTTCAGGAACAATACCTAGACCATGAGTTCAAGCCCCAGGACTGGCAAAAAAAAAAATTTTAGCTGCTTACTTTGTGTGTGTGTGTGTGTGTGTGTGTGTGTGTGTACGCACACTAGCCCTATGGCTTGAACTCAAGACCTAGGCATCCCTGAGTTTTTTTGCTCAAGGTTAGTACTCTACCACTTGAGCCACAGCTCTACTTCTAGCTTTTTGGTGGTTAACTGGAGATAAGAGTCTCATAGAGGGCTGGGAAGTTGGCTCAGTGGTAGAGCGCTTGCCTTGCATGCATGAGGCCCTGGGTTCGATTCCTCAGTACCACATAAGCAAAAAGAAAAAAAAGCCGGAAGTGACGGTGTGGCTTCAAGTGGTAGAGCGCTAGCCTTGAGCTGAAGAGCTGAGGGACAGCGCTTAGGCCCACAGTTCAGGCCCCATGACTGGACCCAAAAAAAAAAAATAAAAGATTAAAGAGTCTCATAGACTTTCCTGCTCAGGCTGGCTTCAGACCCTGATCCTCAGATCTCAATCTTCTGAGTAGCTAGAATTATCAGTATGAGCCACCTGCACGTAGTTGCTAAGCACTTTCTATCAACTGGTTGCTAAGCACTTTCTATCAACTCGGTACTGTTCAAACACTGTGTATACAGACATACATATACACAGGGAGTTCTTCAGTTCTCATAATAACGCTATAAAAAGGTACTCCTATTAGGCAAAACATGTTGAATAACTTTCATTTAATGATACACAATTAATAAGCAGCAGGCTGGAATCCAAATGTAGCCCAGGAAAAAATGAGCAAGATCCTATCTTAAAATCAAGCTTAGAATGGTCATTTATGTCTGTATTACTAGCTATTTGAATAGAAATAGAAGGATTAAGGTTCAAGGCTAGCCCTGAACAAAAAAAACTCAAGTCACTATCTGAAAAACAAACCAAAAACAAATAGGGCCACTGACATAGCTGAAGTGGTAGAGTACTTGCCTACTAAGCATAGGCTGTAAGTTCAAACACTAGTAAATACTCTCACAAGAAAGGACAAATTACTTTATACCATTATCTTATTTAAATCTTCAAAAAACAGTACTTACCTTAAAGAATAAGGATAGTTTTCCATTTTACATTTACGAGAGTGATCTACTACTTGTTCAAACTCACAAAGCTAGTCAAATCAGGTTTGTGCTTCTAAAGTCCATACTCTTTGCCACCATAAAATACAGTAAGCATTGCATATTAATATTTGGGATGATTTGTCAAAATGGCGTATTTCTGTGAACTGTGAAATATAATGGTTTTCTGCTATGCTAACTTCTATAGAAGTTTTCACTAAGAATGCTTGTTAAAAGTTCCAGCCCTGCTGGCCCCGGTGGCTCACCCCTGTAATCCTAGCTACTCAGGAGGCTGAGATCTGAGGATCGTGGTTCAAAGCTAGCCCGGCACAAAAGTCTGTAGGACTCTTATCTCCAATAAATCACTCAGAAAACCGAAAGTGGTGCTGTGGCTCAAGTGGTAGAGCACTAGCCTTGAGTTAAAGAGGTGAGGGACAGCGCCCAGGCCCAAGAGTTCAGGCCCCACGACCAACAAAAAAAAAAAAGAAAAGAAAAAGAAAGAAAGAAAAAAAAAGAAAAAAGAAAAAAGTTCCAGCCCTTTCCAAAGTAGTTAAATCTTCCTGCTTCCTGGAGTGAACTTATTCAGTACCTAAAAAATAATGACATAGTTAGCAATCCACTCCCTTTGATTTCCCTCATAACCTACTTACATCCACTCCAGGTAAAGCATTCCTTTATCAACCTCCTGCTTGGCCTGCAGCTTTGCTTGCTGATAAACTTCTGAAGTCTCTGGTTCACAAAGACCCAGTTGTACAATATTAGGAAATGGCTGTCGTCCAAGAAGGTGTCCATTTAAAGATAAAAACTCCTGAAAATTTTCGCAGACTGCACAATCCTGAAAATAAACTGAAATCTGTTAGAAATATAACCAAAGCCATGATCTGACATTTTTCTATTTCTGTGAGTCTTGTCATTTCAAAGACTTAAATGAAATATTCTCTGTATGAACCAAAATTTAATAGTCAACCATTAGGTAACAAATATACAGTGATCCTCTCCTTATTCTTCCTTTTTTTCCTGTGCCAGTCCTGAGGCTTGAACTCAGGGTGCAGGCACTGCCCCTGAGCTTTAGTGCTCACAGCTAGCACTCTACCACTTGAGGCACAGCACAATCCAGTTTTGGTGCTTAACTGGAGATAAGAATCTCAAACTTTATTGCCCAGGCTAGATTCCAACTGTGATCCTCAAATCTCAGCCTCCTGAGTGGCTAGGATCACAGGCATGAGGGCCTCTGGCATCTGGCCCTCTCGACTTTTATAAGGAAGGTAAAAACTTCATTATCTAACAGATTCTTACATCTTAAACACAAATACACATACACTGAAAACTTTACTCTGCCAACTTCAAACTTTAATCATACCTATAACTCCCAGCAGGCCAAAAGAAAATTAATTAAAATAATCAGGGCAATTGTCTCTATTCAACCATTCTATTATGCTCATTCCTACCATTAAATCTAGAACTGAATGTTAAAATTAGATGTGCTTTAAACATGAACTTTTAATACTAAGATATACCTTTTCATCCAGTATATGCCTGTATTCCACAAATTCATGAATCAGATGAGCTGGACCTAGGAGTTCTGTTTTTGCTTTAATCCAATCCAGAGAAAACATTAAGGTACAAAGTTCCTGACAGAAAAAAAAAAAGAGAGATAAATAGCACTGTTAAAAAGAATATGTATAAAGGGGCAGGGGGGGGGGGGGAAACAATGCTCAATAGGAAGTGTACTCATTACCTTACTCACGTAACTGTAACCCTCTGTATAGAATCTTTACAATAAAAAATTTTAAAAAAGGGCTGGGAAGTTGGCTCAGTGGTAGAGCGCTTGCCTTGCACATATGAGGCCCTGGGTTCGATTCCTCAGCACCACATAAGCAAAAAGAAAAAAGCCGGAAGTGGCGCTGTGGCTCAAGTGGTAGAGCGCTAGCCTTGAGCTGAAGAGCTGAGGGACAGCGCTCAGGCCCAGAGTTCAGGCCCCACCACCAGACCCAAAAAAATATATTAAAAAAAATATGTATAACATGAGAGAAACTTAGCAGATACTTAGAATTTAGGACAAAAAGTAAGCTGGTAAAAAAGGGATATTATCATCAGTCCCAAAATGGGCTTTACATCTTTACGGAAAATAAAGTACAGTTGAATTCAAGATTAAATATAAAACAGAAAACTTTAAAATACACTAGAAGGGCTAGGAAGGTGGCTCAGTGGTAGAGTGCTTGCCTTGCATGCATGAGGCCCTGGGTTTGATTACTCAGTACCACATAAGCAGAAAAAGCCAGAAGTGGCACTGTGGCTCAAGTGATAGAGCGCTAGCCTTGAGCTGAACAGATGAGGGACAGCGCCCAGGCTCACAGTTCAGACCCCACGACTGACAAAATAAATAAATAAAATAAAATAAATAAAATATACTAGAAGATGGGAAGAAGGTAAAGATCAGGAAGATCACAGTTCAAGACCAGCCCAGGCAAAACAGTTAGCAAGACTTCATCTCAATAAAACAAGTTGAGTGTGTCTACTATTCTAGCTATGGAGGAAGCATAAGCAGAAGGCCAGCCAAGCCAAAATAGGTGAGACTGTATCTGAAAAATAAGCTAATGCAAAAAAGGACTATCATACATATCAGAAACCTTAAAAAGATGGATTACACAGTGATTCCAATTCTACAAAATTTCCAAGGACATAATATGGACAAGTGAGAACCAGGAATACTCCTTGCAATGTCGTAAGAACAAAAGAAACTAAAACCAACCTAAATGTTCAATCAAAGTTTGGTTCAGTAAATTAGGGCACAAACATTTATTTAAATGTCATCATTGTGATATAGATTTATTAAGTGTAAATATATTTTACTAGGTGAAAAAAAATCAGGCTACAACAGTACATCATTTTTGTAATTAAGAAATAACATACCTGAGCATATAAAAGTTACTGAAAGCCTAGAGTTTTCTCAAATGTTTAGAGTAGTTGGCAAGCCTAACTGAAAATGTTATCTATGTATTGATTCAGTATTTCCTGTTAGATATCTTAATAGGTACATTAAGCTTAATATATTCAAAATGAATGGAAGTGGCTCTGTTCAAGTGGTAGAGTGTTAGCCTTGAGCACAAAGAAGCTTAGGGACAGCACCCAGGCCTTGAGTTCAAGCCCTAGGACCGGGGGAATAGATATAGATATAAGTACATACAGATATATATATATTCAAAATGAGTTCCTAACCTTCCCCTTCCCCTGATTGGGCATGAGGGAGATCTTGTTCTCCCTTAAACTTTACTATTCACTTAATGGTTCCATTCTTTCCACTGTACAAGCTTGCAGTCATCTTTGATTCTTCTCTTTGTCACAATGCACAGCAAATCCACCAGCATATCATAATTCTATCCTATAGCATCACTTTCTTCTCTTGTATACTTTGTCCTCCTGAGTACTTTACAACCTATGACCATACTACACAATTGTTTGCCTGTCTTCTCAAAGATTATAAGTCCGCTTGCTGCAGCTACTAATATACCTTCCTTAAATCACTGCAGGTAAAAACAGAAAGAAAAGAAAGAGAAAAAGGGAAAGTGAGAAATAAGTATAGAGGAGAAGGGATAGGAGAGGAGGAGAGAAAAGGGAGAAATGGAAGGGAGAGGAAAGAGGGAAAGTTTACATAAGCTACAATCCTTTTACTAATAAAACAAAGTTCTGTGCTGAGAAGTTGGCTCAGTGGTAGAGCGCTTGCCTTGCATGCCTGAGGCCCTGGGTTCAATTCCTCAGCACCACCCACAAAAAGAAAAAAGCTGGAAGTGGCGCTGTGGCTCAAGTGGTGGAGTGCTAGCCTTGAGCTGAAGAGCTGAGGGACAGTGCCCACAGAGTTCAGGCCCCACAACCGGACCCAAAAAAAACAAAAACAAAAAAACCAAAGTTCTAATATAGGACAACGTATGTTTACAAACACGACAACAAAGAAATGCATTTAAAGGTTAAAAAACATCTTCAGTAAATAGAAATGTAGAAAACAGAAAAATCTTTTCCAACATATATGAGAAAAAAGTCAGATAAGAGAATTTTCCAGTGAATCCTTACTTTGTGCATATTCGCACTGGCCATGTGAAATGCCAGAAAATTGTACCAATACATGCAGTCCTCCTGATCTGGAGAAAGAGTATGTGGCTGGTGATACCTCTGAAATTGAGTAATCATCTTCTTATGTAGATCCTGAAACCCAAATTAAACATTTCAGAGGACAGAAACAACTTTAGAACCTAAGCAGCACAGTACGTTAAGCTCCTGAAACTACTGGGTAAATACAGGAAGTCTACTCTATGAAATACTTCACAGTGAAGAAAACAGGCTAAGAAAGTTAACATTTATATATTATCAATAAGACATATCAAGCCCAAGTACTCCCTAATTTGATGGGCTGAAAAGACATAATGCATCTGTGGTTGTGTTTTTTTTTCCTTGGGGGGGGAGGGAGTCAGTTGTGAGACTTGAACTCAGGGACTGAGCGCTGTCCTTGAGTTCTTTCACTCAAAGCTAGCCCCACCACCACTTCTGGTTTTCTGATAGTTAAGTGGAGATAAGAGTCTCACAGACAGCCGGGCGCTGGTGGCTCACGCCTGTAATCCTAGCTACTCAGGAGGCTGAGATCTGAGGATCGCGGTTCAAAGCCAGCCCGGGCAGGAGAGACCGTGAGACTCCTATCTCCAATAAACCACCAGAAAACCGGAAGTGGCGCTGTAGCTCAAGTGGTAGAGCGCTCGCCTTGAGCTGAAGAGCTGAGGGACAGCGCCCAGGCCCAGAGTTCAAGCCCTACGACCGACAAAAAAAAAAAAAAAAAAGAGTCTCACAGACAGCCGGGCACTGGTGGCTCACGCCTGTAATCCTAGCTACTCAGGAGGCTGAGATCTGAGAATCGCAGTTCAAAGCCAGCCCGGGCAGGGAGACTCCTATCTCCAAAAAACCACCAGAAAACTGGAAGTGGCGCTGTAGCTCAAGTGGTACAGCACTCGCCATGAGCTGAAGAGCTGAGGGACAGCGCCCAGGCCCAGAGTTCAAGCCCCACGACCAACCAAAAAAAAAAAAGAGTCTCACAGACTTTTGTGCCTCGGCTGGCTGTCTCTGAACCATGATCCTCAGATCTCAGACTCCTGAGTACATAGGATTACAGGTGTGAGCCACCAGTGCCTGGCTTATCTGTGGTATTTTTTGACAATTATGTATAACCTCAATCTAGCCAGGAAAAAAAAATCAGAAAAAAACTAGATTAGTGAACACTGTACAAATTATTGGCCAAGATTCTTCAAAAGTGACCAGGTTGAGCTGGGGATAGAACCTAATGATAGAGCACATGGTGCTATGCATGCAGCTCTGGGTTCAATCTCTAATACCAGAAAGACAAATGTGACAAGGCCATGAAGACAAAGACTAGGGAGTTATCAGTTTTTCAGTTTTGAAGAGACAAAGGGAAATGACAACTGGGGAAAAAAGATTGTAGGAAAGCCATTAGTGGGAAAGGTGTAGAATGAACTCAAGAGTTTGTGGATTGGTTAATAAGTGTATCAACAGTGACTTTCTAAATTTGGTATATGTACTATCGTTATATAAAATATTAACATGAAAGGAAGCAAGGAAAAGGTTTATACATAGAAACTCTCTGTACTGGGGCTGGGAAGGTGGCTCAGTGGTAGAGCGCTTGCCTTGCATGCCTGAGGCCCTGGGTTCGATTCCTCAGCACCACATAAGCAAAAAGAAAAAACCCAGAAGTGGCGCTGTGGCTCAAGTGGTAGAGCGCTAGCTTTGAGCTGAAGAGCTGAGGGACAGCGCCCAGGCCCAGAGTTCAGGCCCACGACCGGATCCAAAAAAGAAAAAAGAAAAAAAAAAAAAAGAAAGAAATTCTCTGTACTATTTTGTAACTTTTCTACAAGTCTAAATTTTTTTTTTTTCCAAAATAATAAGTTAAAAAAGTACAGACAGGACTAGGAATATACTTGGTGGTAGAGTGCTTGCCTAGCATGTATGAAGCTCCAGGTTCAATTCCTCAGTGCTGTGGCTCAAGCTGTAGCGTGCTTGCGTTGAGCAAAAGAAGCTTAGGGACAGTGTCTAAGTCCTGAGTTCAAGCCCCAAGACTAGCAAAAAAAGTACAGACATAGCCGGGCACTGGTGGCTCACGCCTGTAATCCTAGCTACTCAGGAGAGATCTGAGGATCGTGGTTCAAAGCCAGCCCGGGCAAGAGAGACCGTGAGACTCCTATCTCCAATAAACCACCAGAAAACCAGAAGTGGAGCTGTAGCTCAAGTGGTAGAGCACTCGCCTTGAGCTGAAGAGCTGAGAGACAGCGCCCAGGCCCAGAGTTCAAGCCCCACGACCGACAAAAAAAAAAGTACAGACATGCTAGTACCTGAAGCTGACTGCGATTCTTTTCTGTAAGAAAATCTACTTGAAGATCATGTAAATAATAACGAAATGACTTCCCATTCCGATCACAGAATAAGAGAGATTTATTAACGAACTCTTGCAGTATGTCTTCAACCTCTTCAGTTTCCATGTCCCACAGAATGCATAATACCTAGGAAACATTTTTGGCATTTAATATCACAGAAGTACAATGAATAGGACTATGTATAAAATATTAATATGTACACAGCAAAAATAAATTTTAAAAAAGCCATTATGTTAAAACCCTACATGAGAACATCAACATTTCATAAAATGCTTAACTATCCCTAAAGGTTGAAAAAAGAAAGAGAAATTGGATACTTTTCTAGCTCCCCTAAAACAGATGAGAACTAGGTAACTCATGAGCTCCAAGCAAGCCTTTCATGGAGAATAAGAGTAGAGGGACTTCTGGACCTTCTTCAGCCTTTCATGGAGAATAAGAATAGAGGGACTTCTGGACCTTCTTCCTTCACTCAGTTCTATTGGTCTTACCCATGCATTATAACTTGAAACAATGTCCTCAGTACTATATCAAAGGTCATGTGTCCTAAGTACTCAATGTCAAGAATAGTTGGTCCATTTGTTACCTTTGTAGGCACCTTAACATCTTTCTGAAAGATGGAAAGATCTGTGTAATAATCTTTGATGTCTTCTCTGAGCATTTCAACACTTATAGACATGGCTTCATCCAGAGCCTCATAATCATATGATGAAGATTTCCTTATTCTCTTAAATTGCTTATTCTGAAGTTGCCTGAGGTAGTAATCCCAGCGATTAGGAAAATCACGTAAAAGTGCACCAATTAAAGACACCACAAGAGGAGAACCTTAAATTAAAAAAGAAAGAATTGTGTTAATATCATCTTACTTTTTAAACGCATTATCAAGAAACAACTTAAAGAATCGTTTCTAATGCATATTATTTTGTGTTGGTGTGCACCCACATACTCAAGCTGGAGCTTAAACTCAGGGCTTGGGTGCTGTTCCTCAGCTTTTTCTTTCAAGGCTGGTGCTCTATTGCTTGAGGCAAAGCTCTACTTCTGGCTTTTTGGTGGTTAACTGGAAATAAGAGTCTCATGGACATCCCTACCAAACCTGGCTTTAAATCTCAATCCTTAGATCTGAACCTCATGAGTAGCTAGAATTACATGTTTGAGCCATCAGCACCTGGCTTCAAAGTCGTGTGTGTGTGTGTGTGTGTGTGTGTGTGTTTGTGTGTGTGTGTGTGTGTGTGTGTCTCTGTGTTTGTGTGTCTGTGTGTGTCTGTTTGTGTGTGTGTGTGTGTCTATGTGCCAGTCTTGGAGCTTAAACTCAGGGCCTGAATGCTGTCTCTGAGCTTTTTTGCTCAAGGCTGGTGCTCTACCACTTGAACCACAGTACCACTTCCAGCCTTTTCTGAGCAGTTTATTGGAGATTATAGTCCCACAGAGTTTCCTGCCAGAACTTACTCTGTACCATGTTCATCAGATCTCAGCCTCTTGAGTAACTTGGATTACAAGCATGAGCCACCATGGGAAAATGCTCACAATATATAAAAAGGACGAGAGTCAAAACACTATATACAACAATAATCTAAATTTTAATTTCACTATAGACAAATTTTGTCAAAAAATGAAATCAAAAGACATATGAAAACATAAATATAAATATATATTTGACAAAATTATGCAAAGGGCTAATAGCTTCAATAGTTAGGAGTATTTAAAATGCAATTAAAATATTTATATTTTAAAAGAAAATAAGGTAAAGGATACCTTTTTTTTTTTTTTTGTCGGTTGTGGGGCTTGAACTCTGGGCCTGGGCGCTGTCCCTCAGCTCTTCAGCTCAAGGCGAGCGCTCTACCACTTGAGCTACAGTGCCACTTCCGATTTTCTGGTGGTTTATTGGAGATAAGAGTCTCACGGTCTCTCCTGCCCGGGCTGGCTTTGAACCGCGATCCTCAGATCTCAGCCTCCTGAATAGCTAGGATTACAGGCGTGAGCCACCAGGGCCTGGCTGGTAAAGGATATCTTAAAATGCAAACAACCAATAAACAAGTGTAATACTATGATACACGTATTCTGAATTTTTGTCCAAGGTTCCTAGCTCATAACTCCCTCCTCAAGGCAGCTAATAGAAACTACAGTTTATTGTAGGTGACCATCAGAAACTCAAATCCCCTATCTTTCTGTCTTGTAACTTGTCATAAAGAAATCTTCTGATTATGTTTTTTGTCAGATAATATATCAAGAACTCATTTCAGAAGGATCCCACCCCATACATATAAGAAAGGAACACTGCACACAGACTCCAAGAATCCAGGAAAAACTTGCTGAGTTTTCCCACTTTATTGGCATACTCTTTTTGTCCAATCACCTTTTTACATTGTTGTCAGTACTTCATTTGTTTCTATGCAATGGTTATGTCAATTAAAAACTCAAAAAGACAAGAGTTGGGAGAGGGTCCAAAGAGAACATATGGATGTTTCTGAAGGACATGAAAATACCACAACCCGGGGCTGAGAAGGTGGCTCAGTGGTAGAGCGCTTGCCTTGCATGCCTGAGGCCCTGGGTTCGATTCCTCAGCACCACATAAGCAGAAAAAAAAAAGCCGGAAGTGGCGCTGTGGCTCAAGTGGTAGAGCGCTAGCCTTGAGCTGAAGAGCTGAGGGACAGCGCCCAGGCCCAGAGTTCAGGCCCCACGACCAGACCCAAAAAAAAAAAAGAAAGAAAGAAAAAAAGAAATACCACAACCCTTCCCCGAAACATTCCTTATACATCTCTTCAACTGTATCCTATAGAGTATCCTTTATCATAAATGGGTAAATATGTTTCCCCAATTTCCTGATTTCTATGAACTGTCCGAGCAAATTAATTAAACCTGAGAAAGTGTTTGTGAGAAACTTGATTTATAGATGGTGGGGTCAGAAGCATAGGTAAAAACCTGAGACATGCAAATGGCATCTGAAGTTGGCATTGGAGACAGTCTTGGGGACTGAGCCCTCACCCAGTGAGACACTGGGTGATGAACAGCTGATCAACACTGCAGCACTGATGGTTTGCTTGGTGTGGGAGGAAAAATGACTACAAATCTGCTATTAGAAATGATCTGTGCGTCACACTATAGTAAAAGAAAAAAAAAGGCTCAAAGGACTTCAGCTATACTGGGTACCAGTGGCTCATGCCTATAATCCTAGCTACTCAAGAGGCTGAGATCTGAGGGTTGCAGTTCAAAGCCAGCCTGGAAATGTCCCTGTGAGCCTCTTATCTCAAATTAACTACTCGAAAATGGAAGTGGAGCTATGGCTTAAAGTAGTAGAGCGCCAGTTCTGAACAAAAGAGCTCAGGGACAGCATCCAGGCCCTGAGTTCAAACCCCACAACTGACAAAAAAAAAAAAAAAAAAGAGGACTAGGAAGGTGGCTTAGTGGTAGTGTGCTTGCCTTGCATCCAAGAGGCCCTGGGTTCAATTCCTCAGCACCACATAAGCAGAAAAAGCCAAAAGTGGTATTGTGGCTCATGTGGTAGAGCGCTCACCTTGAGCTGAAGAGCTGAGGGACAGCGCTCAGGCCCAGAGTTCAAGCCCCACAATCGACAAAAAAAAAAAAAAAAAAAAGAATCCTGAGTTTTATGTTTCCTTCTACATTTTCAGAACAAATAAAAATAAAATTTTACTTCATTAATAAAAATGCAAATTATGATGATAACATATCATTATCAAATTAGGACAGTATCTTTATAATATCCCAAACAAAAACATTTTAAAATTTTTCACTGTTTTTACTCATGTTTTCACTTCAGCATACACACTCACAGCATACTGGGGATGCATGCTAAATATTAATAAGTGAACAAATAATATAATATCCTGTATTCATTTATGGTATCAGAGAATAATCTAAAATACTAAATTAGAACTAAAGAGGATTTTTATATGCTAAATTAACACATTTATTAGCTTAATTCACAAAGAGAGAATGAGTATCCCTGTAACCCAGCTCATCATACCTTTGCACTCTTTTACTATACTATGAGCTTGTTCTGGCAAATCTGCTTTCTTCATATTAACAAAAAGGGCTAAAATTTCAAGTCCTTTTTCTTTTCCTAGGCCACTCTCCACAGGAACTACATATTTAGGACCTGCAACAAAATGGTAAGACACCGTAATAAGTAACTTGGTGTGGCAAATATTTGTATGCAGCTGAACTAAATACTTTAATACCTTAATTTACTGCCTAAGTTAGTAAGAGTATTAAAAAGTAATCCTTACCCATTACTGAGTCTGTAACACTCTTGTCTCTGGTTGTAAGTAGAATCTGACACTGATTGTCAAATGCTTTTAATACCCAAGGATCCCAAACATCGTCCAAGATCAACAGAGACCTAATTTGAAAAAGTTAAGAAAAATAATTTTTTTTGAGGGGGGGGTTGGGTCATGGGGCCTGAACTCTGGGCCTGGGCGCTGTCCCTCAGCTCTTCAGCTCAAGGCTAGCGCTCTACCACTTGAGCCACAGCGCCACTTCCGGCTTTTTTCTTTTTGTGGTGCTGAGGAATTGAACCCAGGGCCTCAGGCATGCAAGGCAAGCGCTCTACCACTGAGCTACCTTCCCAACCCCAAGAAAAATAATTTTTAAAAAACACACAGAGAGAGAATGAAGGGGAATGAGTATGGTCAAACTACTATAAGGACATGTGTGAGAATGGAACAGGAAAGCTTGTTTCTTTGCTTTTTTGTTTTTTTGCTTTTTTATTGTGAAAATACTGTACAGAAGGGTTACAATTACATGGGCAAAATAATGAGTACATTTCTTATCAAGCATTGTTGTCTTCTCCCTTTGTTTCCCCTTCCCTAAAGCTTGTTTTTTGTTGTTGTTGTTTTTGTTTTTGTCGGCCACGGGACTTGAACTCTGGGCCTGGGCGCTGTCCCTCAGCTCTTCAGCTAAAGACTAGCGCCCTACCACTTGAGCCACAGTGCCACTTTCTGCTTTTTTCTGCTTATGTGGTGCTGAGGAATTGAACCCAGGGCCTCATGCATGCAAAGCAAGCACTGAGCCAACTTCCCAGCCCATGAAGCTTGTTGAGATTAGTTTGAGAAGGGAAAATTGGAGCGATTGACAGAATCTAATCAAGGTACATTTTATGCATATGTGCACAAATCAAACTGAAACGCTCTTGTACAACTAATTGGTGCTAATAAAAAGTTGGAGGTAGAATTTATTATATAGCAAATCATTAATAAAATTTATTTGAAACACCCCATATGTGGAAGTTAGCTCTAAAATACAAAGACACGTGATTATATATGCTTACATACACAAATTGAATAAAGAATGGTATACTTAAGATAGGAGTCCAATGATGTAACTCCTCTGAGCAATTAAGGAATCCTTTGACAAAATGAATACCAGGAAGCTGAAACGTGTTCTGTTGGGACAGAGGAAGCACACACATGACAAACAGAGCGCAATAGAGGGAGCAAACTCAGCACTATATTCAATGTATGTTATGTAGGAGGGCTGGGAAGGTGGCTCAGTGGTAGAGTGCTTGCCTTGCTTGCATGAAGCCCTGGGTTCGATTCCTCAGCACCACATAAGCAGAAAAACCCAGAAGTGGCACTGTGGCTCAAGTACAGCACTCACCTTGAGCTGAAAAGCTGAGGGACAGCGCCCAGACCCAGAGTTCAGGCCCCACAACCAACCAAAAAAAAAAAAAAAACAAATCAATGTATATTATGTAGAAATTGAGCTATGTAACGTGAGGGCAGGGATAGGATGAGTAAAGATCGGGGAGAACGATGGAAGGGGTGACACCGATTAAGCTGCATTATACTCATAACCTGACTTGTAAATCTGAAACCCCTTTGTACAGCTACTTATAAAAAATAATAATGACAATGGTCTGGGAAGGTGGCTCAGTGGTAGAGCGCTTGCCTTGCATGCTCAAGGCCCTGGGTTCGATTCCTCAGCACCACATAAGCAAAAAGAAAAAAGCCGGAAGTGGCGCTGTGGCTCAAGTGGTAGAGCACTAGCCTTGAGCTGAAGAGCTGAGGGACAGCGCCCAGGCCCAGAGTTCAGGCCCCACGACCGGACCAAAAAATAAAAAATAAAAAATAATAATGACAAAGTTTTAAAAAGAAGTGCTAAAGGTTAAAGATGGAAGACTAGAAGTTTTCTCCATGAGACTGAAATGACAAACAGTTGGGATAGCAAAGAACAGATACTCTGGGGAGATAAAAAGTATCAGAAATCAAAGAAGAGGTAACAGAACAGCAAAAAGCATAGAGAAACTTGTAGGCACACAAACATACATAGGCAACACAAAATAGAGTAGGAAATAGTCTCCAGTTCTAATAGTGACAGGTTGTGGATTACACGTGACTGCAACCAGGCACATGCAGCCATGCAGCCATCCATCCAGGCAGACCTGGTGACAACAAACTAGCAGACCTAGCCATAGGAATAGCTAACAAATCTTAAATCCACTGCAGGGATTTAGTGTGACAGTGACTCCTTCTGCACAAGCATCTAGTATTTGGAAAAGAATGAATTACATCACTTTTCATCTCTCCAAATGCTATAGGTAGACACTATCTACAGAATGGCCTGTATTTTGAGACCAAGTTACTTGAGGGACTTGAAAACAAGAAACAATCAAAAGTCAGAAAGCCTGAAGATAAGCTGTCACTATGTCTGGGTGGGAGATGAAACAAAGAGGCAATAATGGAGAAAGGGAGGGTCAGACACGGACTCGTGAGAAGTTTAAGCAGCAGTACAAGTACTGTGCAGAGTACAGTGATCAGTGGCCCTGCCCTCTGTGGCAATGCAAAAGCCCTATCTATTACACATGATAGTCACTGTGGAGACTGATGGTCCAACTCCATGCCCATGGATTGCTCAGACTTCGGAGTTCCTCCCTGCCCATTATGGTAATGTAACTCTGGGTTTCTGCAGCCTCTTCCCTCCTGCCAGGTGGTTTACCACCAGAAGAGTCTGAAAACTCTGAGACCAGAGGCATAGCTCCTGCTCCTTTGGTCTTCCCCTTCCAGTGCAGACTCAGTGTCCCATTTGCTTCCCCACCTCTCCAATGGATTCAAGGGACATACCTTGGTTTAGACATTTGCTATACCTTGGCACATAAACTGAGAGGCCTTTGGAATAAGTGGGAATCTGTCTGGTCCATAGGCGACAAAGCTCACTGGGGCCAACAGGTGTTCCTGGTATATACCAAAATGGGAAATTTCTAAAGTGAATACAGTCCTGACACTGACAACACAGACTTGTCTAGCCATTCTCTCAGCTCACATACAGCACCAAACTGTACATTGAGAGCAAAGAGAAAATATAAGACTCCAGCTTCAAACCACTACTTACTTCCAGACATGACAGACAGCATTATTAGAGGAACTAAACAGATGTATAATGAGCAATAAGACTGACACAATAATAGAGTCTCCCAACAAAGAAAACCTCAGGACCAGATCAATTCACTGCAGAATTCTATCAGACCTTTAAAGAAGAGCTAATGCCAATGTTCCTGCAAGTATTGCATAAAACAGGACCAGAATTCTTCCAAACTCGTTCTATGAAGTTAGTGTTACCCTGGTACCAAAACTGAATAAAGATGTAATGAAAAGAAAGAGAAGCAGACCAATATCTTAGATGAACACGAACAGAAAAATCATCAATAAATTATTTCAGACCAAATTAATTAACACATTCAAGGGATACATTCACAAGCTTACTTCATTTCACCCATGGACATAGTCTAGGAAACACTACTAAAGTTTCTTTTCCCCCTGCTGTCATGTCTTAAGTCAGAGTCCCCTAACAAACCTGCAGAAACTCTTCCACAGAGGGCTGAGCTTTGAAACAATGGATGAGGGTCTGAGATGACACTTTAGGCAAAGGGGAACACTGATGGACGACTATGTGGTGACATGAGAGCCAAACATCAAGCACTCTAGGAGCTTTGCATTTGTTATTCATCCCTTTCTAGAGGAGGTGAATCCAGCTATAGTGCAAGAACACACAAAAGGGATGGAAGAGTTGTAAAACCAAAAGGAACTATCAATGCTCACTTAACTATAAAAAGGATGTTTATTAGTGGAAAAAAGGAACACATTAGGGAATACCACCTATGAGATTATGTTAACAGTAAGGGTGAAATTATGAAAACCTGAGACAGTAAAAGAGGCGGCTTTTTTTTTGTAACTGTTGTTGACTATGACACCTTGTATAAAACTGTAATTAAGAAACACCACAGTCAGGCTGGGAAGATGGCTCAATGGTAGAGTGCTTGCCTTGCATGCATGAGGCCCTGGGTTCGATTCCTCAACACCACATAAGCAGAAAAAGTCAGAAGTGGCGCTGTGGCTCAAGTGGTAGAGCACTAGCCTTGAGCTGAAGAGCTGAGGGACAGCACCCAGGCCCAGAGTTCAGCCCCACAACTGACAAAAAGAAAGGGAAGAAGGGAGGAAGGGAGAAAGGGAGGGAGAGAGGGACAGACCCCAGTAACCAATCACTGGTGGCTCATGCCTGTAATCCTAGCTACGCAGGAGACTGAGATCTGAGGATCACGGTTCGAAGCCAGCCCAGGTAGGAAAGGACCTGAGTGAGATTCTTATCTCCATAACCACCAGAAAACCAGAAGTGGCACTGTGGCTCAAAGTGGTAGAGTGCTAGCCCTGAGCAAAAAAAATTCTGGGACAGCACCCAAGCCCTGATGAGTTCAAGCCCCATGACTGAAAAAAAAATAAAATTTTGAAAATTTAAAAAAAGAAACACCATAGTGTGAAAGGCCACAACTATGAAGGAAGGTCCTGCTGAAGTAAGAGAAGGCTAGACCTTCATCTAGCCAAAGAGGAGAATGCATGTAATTCCTGTGGATATCTCAGTGACCTAAAAACTACAGGGGTTTGTGGGATCATTCTATCATTTGGGATTCAGATCTCTTAGGTGGGGCTGGAATCTCTGGACATGGTAGGTCCAGTTTTGAGTGTGGGTTAATCATCACATACCTATGGGTCATAAAGGTAGGGGGAAGTTCTGACAGACATGTGCAGGTAAAGAACAGTTGACACAGCAGCAGAAAAGGGGAACTTACTGTGGGGAGAGAAATGTTACAGCATGCCCAGGTTAGCAAGACTCGGAATGACTGGCAGCAGGGCAGAGCATCTTCCAGTGTCTGATGGAGCCATGCCACACTAGAGGGTCTACATGAGGTTCCTATCCACATTTGTGGGAGATAGGGGTGGCCTTCCTTATGTTCTCAAGAGCTCAACCTGCTCAGGGAAGGCTGTCCAGCTTCTTCATGGGGACTTAGTAACAGGGTTAGCCACTCAGGCTGCTTTGCTGCTTCTCAGAGTTGTGGGTCAAATTATATCC